CCCAACTTAGGCGAATTAAGATTTATGAGCGAGTCTATAGGATGTTTCGTATAAGATTGGTATGTGATTTATCTTTAACACAAGATAAATTCTTTAAGAAGACGAACATACATTGTCACTTCTGAAAGGAAGAGTGAAAGTGAGAGTAAAATGCGGGAGAAAGTCTCTCTCTCGTCCTGGTTATCAGTGTTCTCAAGCTTTCATCCTGGCGGATGCGGGAAGAACTTTATACCTTAACAAATGGTGTAGTATGGCGACTCACCCTCTCGCCAGCTTCCCGTCTTAATGTTTTAAGACTTTACTCAATAATTTTTTTGCCGCTTCTCTGTTCACATAGTGACTTTGTACAGTTGCGGAAATGTGTTCCTACAACCCCCAGTGGTAACCCGTGTCTCCAAACGGCAAAAATATCGCAGTAGTATCACTATTTTGAATGAACGCGTATTGGTCACCTAACGACGGGCGTGATTGGTGGATAGGTTTGCTGTAGGTCATAGGTTAGCCGCTTGGAGACACGGGTTAGTACAGGGTGAGCAGGAACACATTTCCCCGCAACTGTACCATACAGATTTATCATCAGATCAATGCAATATGATCTGTATATACTATATAGCTAATACACATAAATACATAGTTATGCGCGCGCACACACACACGCACACACACGCACAGACGCACACACGCACACACACATATATATATATATATATATATATATATATATATATATATATATATATATATATATATATATATATATATATATATATATATATATACAATGGATGTATGAACACATCACATGTAAAGAGTGTTCTCACCCATAGCTACATGTAATTCATCCTCAGTTACTTCACTATATCCGCCACATTTAACTTGGTTTCATGTCAAGAATGGACCTCATCACCTTGGTTTCAACAATTTGAACAATTTACCCGACTCACAACTGTGCGGTGATGAACACGTCCTCGATAAGTATAGTACGTGAAGGTGTTATATGGGAACTATAACACGAGCCTATGTGTACCAAAGTTATGAGTGTACATGACAGGAGTGGGAGGAGGGGGGTGGGCAGACTGGTTGTCATTTCAAAAGGTCATGGTTGTACGCAGTAGGCCATCTTAAACCCTGACTAGTGTCCAACCTTACCCTACACATCCCCACGAAACTTTCTACAAAAACAAAATCTAAACACAAAAGTCAACAGCAATTCAGGTTTCTGGGATGTATTCCTGATAGGACTGTATGTCACTAGTTAAACCATGGGTAGCAAAGGTGTTGGCAGTTCCCAGATGGAGAGGGAGAGTCGTGCAGCGGTGACCTTCGTACCTGCAGGTGACGAGGAAGTGTGGCCTGTGAGGCAACAAACGTGTTAAGCGGAGATGCCGATAATGGCATTGTAGTTATTGTGAAGTCTTTCAAAAATTATAATTTTACTGATTTCTACGGTATCAATGACCATTATGTTACAACACCAAGAGCAATGTGAATGAAATGATAAACTGTCTGTTACTTGGGTGCCTAAGTACAGGCAACGAGAAATTACAGTATAGGCACAGTAGCAAACTTGGCCGGCGAGAAGGCTGCAAATTCTTTGGTGTTGGTCAGAAGACGATGATAAATAGTAATTTTCGAATGATGATGCACGATGGTTACAACGTCAAGATGAACATGACCTATACACAATCATTTCAGGTTTCTAAAGCGGATCGATCGTTAGACGACCAGAAGTTCACCAGAAAATGCTGGGCAACAGGTAATGGCAATTTATAACAGTTCACTAACTGAACTTTTTGTTGACCTTTAATGCGTCCAAACATCCGTCAAACTTGAAACTGCCGCCGAAACAATTGAATTAGTCTTTTGCAACAGTTTTAAGATGGTAATTTTTTTTTTAACGGAGAGGTTAAATAACCAGTATTGCAAATATGTTCTGAACAGTTTACAATCATTAAACAAAATATACATTTGGAATAGAGACTTTGGGCAGTGCTTTCGTTGTCTTCGATTACAGAACACTTTAAATTCACCCCTCTAATGTCACTCCCATATAATACAAAATAACACGCACCTCCGCCAAAATAACCCCGGATTTCCCCCCTACAATACATTGCGGGAATTTGCGGTAAACAAACGATGACCTAGTTATGGTTGGGGTCGATAAGATGGGGAAGGCTTCTATATAATGCATTAATACATGGAACTATGCCGATTGTTTTAAAATGCAATTTGATGCGGCGCGGCGGTCAACAGAGCTAAGAAGAAAACCCAGAAATTCAAGACGTGGGTTGGGTCAAACGATGAGCAGGACAGGGGGATGTGCATGAGCCAGAAACCAAGCAAAGATAGAGTGTAGAAGGGCTGAAAAGGAGTTCCAGAGACTGGTTGCAAGCGAGGTCAAGTCAAACCCGAAGGCGTTTTACCGCTATGCAAAGTCGAAATTAAAAATGCGAGTAGGGATATCAGACCTGAGGCTTGAAGATGGTAGTTACGAAGATTCTGACCGAGATAAAGCTGAGGCATTGAACAGCTTCTTTTCCTCGGTGTTCACAAGAGAGGATGCAATTAACCATCCTGCGTTTGAGGACAGACGGTTCGACACAGCACTGACCCACATTGTGTTCACAGAAGAGGGTATTAGAAAAAACTGTCCAGGCTAAAGGTTCATAAGAGTCCCGGCCCTGACATGGTGCATCCAAGAGTGCTACGAGAGTTGTGCAACGAGCTTGCCGAGCCCCTGAAGATCCTGTTTTGTAAATGCCTGGATGAACAAAAGGTCCCCAGTGAATGGAAATTGGCTTATGTGAGTCCTATCTTCAAGAAGGGCGATCGTCACTCCACGAACAATTATAGACCAGTGAGCCTGACCAGCAAAATATGTAAAGTACTTGAGAGTATTATCAGAGATGCCGCAATGGAACATCTACTACAAAACAACCTTGTAAAGGATTGCCAACACGGTTTTATGCCGAGACGCTCCTGCTTAACATAATTGCTCAAGGTATTGGATATTTGGACCCATATTCTGGAACGGGGTGATAATACCGACAATATTTATCTAGATTTTGCCAAGGCTTTCGACGAAAGGCTGAAAATCAAACTGAAAGGGTACGGAATTCGGGGAAATGTCCTAGCGTGGATAGAAGACTTTCAACATGACCGCAAGCAGTGTGTGGTGATTAATGGCACGAAATCATCATCCGTATCTGTCACAAGCGGGGTACCACAGGGCAGTGTATTGGGCCCGCTGTTGTTTGTTTGTTTCATAAATGACATGCCTGACGTTGTACACTCCTCCATACAAATGTTTGCAGATGATGCCAAATTATTTCAGGAAATCAAGAACCAAGCGGACTGTGGAGAGCTGCAGAAGGACCTCTGTGGGCTCCAAGAATGGTCGAAGAAATGGCTGCTGAGATTCAATGTCACGAAGTGTAAGAGGATGCACCTGGGGCGTACCAACTGTAAGGAGGCGTATCATATGTCCCAACGGGATGAAGAAACTGCACTATTTGAGACTGAATGTGAAAAGGTCCTAGGTGTGTATGTTGACAATGAGCTGAAGTTCTCGAGCCATTGCGAGAAGGTAAATCAGGCAAATAAATTATTGGGTCTTATAAGAAGGTCGTTCAGATATCTAGACGGTCCGTCCCTCGTAACGATCTTCAAGAGTGAAGTGCTTCCCCATCTGGAGTACTGTCACCACGCCTGGTCCCCGAGATATGCTAGTGACTGTCAGTTGGTTGAAAATTTTCAAAGGAGGGCCACCAAACTGGTGCCTGCACTTCGACACCTGAGCTACCCTGAGAGATTGGAGCGCCTGAACTTGCCTAGCTTATACTACAGACGGGCAAGGTGAGACCAAATTGAGGTGTATAAGCATCTCAAGGGGCACTACTCAATCAAGTGTCCTTACTTGGAGCTGGCGGACGCTCGCCCCACAAGGGGTCACAGCTCAAGATTGAAGAAGCCGCAAGTCCAGAAAACTGTGAGGGCAAATTTTTTTGGAGTGAGAGTTGTGAACTCTTGGAACAATCTACCAGAAAGTGTTGTGATGGCACCGAGTGTGAGCTCTTTCAAGACAAGACTTGACCATCACTGGAGCGGGTTCAGGTACATTCAGGAGCCGGTGCATGCCCAGTACTTGCCAACAGTGCATAACAGAGACGTGACCGATCGCCCAAGCGGCTAAAGAACCGATCTTTTGGTGAAGAGGATAAAAGAAAAGGAAAAGTAATCAGGGACGTGACTGATCGCCCAAGCGGCTAACGAGCCGATCAGTGGTGAAGAGGATAAAAGTAAAAGTAACTTAGCAAAGTCTAGCAATTCTGAAGAGTGGAATGTTATTAGTACTAAATGCATTAAATCGAGAAAGCGCTCATATAAACTAATGAACAGTCAATGCAACATTGACAGAAGTAGGTGTGCTACTATAAAAGAAATGCACAAAAAAGAAAATCTTGATTTCGCCATTTTTCCTCCCCCCTTCACCCTAGCCCCCGTTGGCACCAATCACCATGTAGCGCTGTCCTTCAGATTTAACTGTTACTTGGTTCATGACAAAACCAGGCCAAGGTTAAAATATTAAAAGGGTAATTACGACGGGATTAGGGAGGAAACGAGGGGTATTCACTGGCCTGACTCACTAAGATATAAGAACACAGACACTACGCTGAATATCAAAGCCAGTAAAGTGAACAAATGCGTTTACAGGAGCATGTCAGATTTTGTGCAGCGTGGTAGCCCTGTGTTTGTTTACAGTCGACAGAAGGAAACTCGCAATAGAAAACATACTATGGAATCAAATTAAAACAATGTTAAAATAAACATCTCAAAGATAATGATTTGTGGAATGTTTATATGAGGAGCCCCTGTAAATGCACAAGTGAAGGGAACTAACTCGATTGTCTTCAAACAATTACATTTTCTCAATAGGTGTACCTTTACCTTTATCTAAATGCTACTACTACTACTAATAATAGACGGTGTGTTGTGTACAGGTGTGGGCGCAGGCCAGGACTTCGAGTGCCCATCACCAGACGGACAGTTCGCTACTGACCAAAGCTGCAGAATTTTCTACCAGGTTAGACTCTAAATATTTTGTATCATTTCTCAGCACCTCTTCATGGGTACCAATTGATCATGTACCACATTTAATTTGACATGGTTGGCATTGTATACTCGCTGGGTGCGTTGGTGCCCAAGCTAAAAAAAAAAAAAAAATATACCAGTCTATGAATGCAGTTTACAAGTTTACACAGCAAGAATAAAATTCAACGATACAATGAAATTCATACTCTTTTTACATAGGCATAAGTCAAACTTGTAACCAAAGCTACCACGCTCACTATGAGTTAAGTTATCACTTCCCCCCCAACAGTGCGTGGGTAACTTTGCCTTTAGGCGACAATGTCCGGAAGGTTCCCTCTATGATGGCAGTAAGCATAATTGTGAGAGCGTACATGACCCTACCGTCAAGTGTGGCCCACAGCCAATTGGTAAGTGCATTATCTTTTTTGTATCTTTTTGTGTGCCTGTGTTTTGTATGAGTCTATCTTTGCGTCTGTATTTTTTTAGTTATTCTGAACTTGTACATCTGTTTACAGTATACTTGCTATCCTGAGCTTGCATATCTGCATGTATATTTCTATCATTCTGAACCTTTACTTAAGCTTGTGTGTCTGTGCAGTATATACCTATTATCCTGGGTTTGTTTGACTTGCTGTGTCTGCATATACCTGTCATTCTGAACCTATAATTATGTGTCAGTATGTCACTCTTGATTCGTTTTGTGCGCCCGTACATAATACCCGCCATTCTGAAAACGTGGTCAGAGCCTAAACTCTCTTTTAACCTGTGTCCATACAGTTGAGACCACGCCCGCGCCCCCCGACCCTTTCAAGGCCTCCCCATGTGACCCCATCGAATGCCTCCTGCCGTATTGCCACTGTTCCTTCGAAGGCAAGGAAATTCCAGGCCGACTCAAACCAGAAACGGTACGTGTTTCTGAATTATCATCTGTCCGCAGGTTTGTGCCTGTTTCTAAATACAATGTATTAGCTCTAGGCACATAACTTAAGGCTTGGCAAGTGCCGCTACTTACAATGTACCTGCACTATGGTAAATTATAAGGCGTGTTCGTAAATTCAGAGCTTTTTTAAGTATACGTCGATAGGATTGTACGCCCTTGTACATACAAACACCAGTACTCAAGGACATGCCCGTATGTCTCTAATCAATGTATTCCATGTACCCCCTTAGACGCCCCAGATGATCATGATGACGTTCGACGGCGCCATCAACGACCTCAATTTCAACACGTACAGCGAAATTTTCCTGGACAACCGCACCAATCCCAACGGTTGCCCCATCCGCAGCACCTTCTTCGTCGCCCACGAGTACACCAACTACCAGCTGGTTGAAGATTTCTACAGCAGGGGACACGAGATCGCTGTCGGTACCGTCAGGTAAGTGGTCAGGCTTGGTGGGTGTCCTGTTCCCCTTCTTTTTCTTCTATTCTTTATTTCCATTCTCTCCCCCTTTCCTTTCTCCCTGTATTATTAATCCCCCATTCTCTTTTTCATGTTTCTATCTTCTACTTGTCTCCGAAAGTGCAGTTGTAAGAGTTCGCATCGCCAGACAATTATATTGGAAGGAATAAAGGTTGATACACCGATTACTGTACAATCAATCACTATGTATTAAAAGAAGTATTGTTCTCTTTGAACATCTTGGAGTATCAATAACAAAATTAAGAATTCCCACTTTGGTTCAATCGATCCTTATTAAACACTACCGTACGTTAACACTTTAAAAAAATAAAGACCCCTTGGCTTACTTTATAGTTAGAAAAATAAGCACGTCAATTAACATACATAATCTTCGAACATTTTGATACATCAGTTACAACACTCAAGAATTCCCACTTGGGTCATTAACACCCAACTGAATTCACTTGCATTCATAAACAATGTCGGAACTGTTAAAATCAACACCCTCAATCTCTTAGTTATAGATTAACTAAAGCTCTTAGTGATGGCACAACACTCATAACTAATATAAGCAATTCTGTATGAATAATCTTAGTGGTAACACTTCAGTACAGCTACAGGTAACATTCGTAATAATATATTACGTATGGCACACATAGCACCTTAATTCGCTTCAGACCACACTTGTAACTACAGTACCTAGTACCAATAATTAGTCTTAGTGATACCACCTTACTACAAACTCACCAGGCCAATAAGACAGCCTGGATTCACTCGTGAACAATACAAGCACTCTCGGTACTCCACTCCAGTACAGGGAATTTCTGCACTAATACACGCTTGGTACTATACCTGTTACCGAGACAATAAAAATACATTCCGTCAATAATAGCACACAGGAGAAGGATTTTACCAGGGAGTATTTTCGTCTTGGACCAGCAGGCTCGTTTCTCATCCACCCTGGAGCAGCTTACCCTATATTTACGAGTTCACTTAGTCAAGGCATATAACATTGCCCTCTTCCTTTGTCCGCCTGTTCTCGCGTTTTCATCGGCCTTTCCGCTTGCCTTCCAAAATGCCAGTGCGTCTGTTTGTTGACCAAAGCGTCCGTTCGCCTGCCAACATATCTATCTGCAGTTACGTCAGTGTGATAATAATATTAACGGACACGTTAACAATATTAACGGACATGCGCCCTCCGTCTGTCCGCATGTCTGCATAGGCTGTATAGGCTATGTGGACTTTGGACGCCATTTAAACTCATCATATTTGCTTCGTAATTTAATGAAAACTGATGCGTTTTTACCTCTCCAGTTAAGGGGCAAGATATACGGAGGCTATACAGTATACAGATTTTTTAGACCAAGGACTCCGTTTTCACGTTTGTAAAGATGTTAGGTGTGTTTGTCGTACCTAAGTAAGGTTGTTAGGTGCGTCTTACTTATCCATTTCCCGAAAAATAATTGCTAAACCAAAATCAGAAAACCTAAAGCAGTTCTGTCGTTTTTCGTAGTTACATGTGTTTTTATATCTCCAATTCATATAAAAATATTACTGTTGTGGTCTCCGTCTTTGCAGTCGTAGGGCGGGGTTGGAAGACGAAGGGGAAGATACGTGGATTGGGGAGACAGTCACCATGAAGGAGATCCTCCAGAACTTCGCTGGCATTAGAGCCGTGGATATCAAGGGTGTGCGTGGACCCCACCTTAAGCCCGGCAGGGAAGCCCAGTATGAGGTGAGTACTGTTTGTAGGTACAGTCAACCAAAGATGCACTGACCCCACCTTGGGTCTCGTACTAGCAATTTTACTTGGCAATATTTGGTAAAGTAAGGCTGTATGTAAAGGTGATTGTGATTTTTTCTTTTAACCTCATGTAATATCCATGTACCCGGTACTTGAAAAGTACAGAAAAAGAAAAATTAGATAATTTGGTCATATAATTAGGGATTTTACTGTATGCACCATTGGTCAGTAATATACTGTTTGATTTTGTTGGTGTTTATTGTTTCAATACAGAAGGCACCAATATCTGAAATGTACAGAACAGGAATTATCACACATAGGCTACACCATCTCACACATATACTAGTACACACAGTCCAATGACTATACGCTTGGAACAGTACAGGGATGAGGGAATAATAACATAAATATTAATGGGGAAAGTTAAGGATAAGAGGACCAGGGGAAAGCAAAGACTGTGATGGATGAATGAAATTAAAAACTGGGTCCCCATAGATACAAAACCTCGGAGGATTGGTAAAACAGCCCGAGAACATTTACAGTGGAGGACTGTTGTCGCCAATCCTCAGATATGAAGACAGTAATCTGATTGAATATCATTCGCCTCTTTAAACTTCGTTTTACTAACCTCATTCATTATATTCAACAGGTGCTAAGTGCTTACGGTTTTACCTGGGATTCTACCATCAATAATCCACCTTCAACTGAGGCGGTGTGGCCATACTCCCTCGAATATGCCATCCCGCATGAGTGCCGCGCCGGAACCTGCCCTACCAGGTCCTTCCCAGGTAAGACAGGTTCTACACAAGAAAAGCATCATAATATTATGTCCTCCCTCTAAAAGGGAATTTAATTTAATGCTGTTGATTAGTAACATGGTTTATTAAAAAAAAAAAAGACGTAATACAAAGAATGAACGCTGAATTCTCTACCCATATGATAAAGTGAACACTAATTTCTTTTCTTATAAAATTATTGAATGAAATGAAATTTCCTTTCTACCAATATATATATATATATATATATATATATATATATATATATATATATATATATATATATATATATATATATATATATATATATATATATATATATATATATATATATATATATATATATATATATATATATATATATATATATATATATATATATATATATATATATATATATATATTGTTTATGGGTAAAATGCGAGAAAAGTGTCATAAAAGAAAATCGTATTGTTTTTGTTTGAACTCACTATTAAAAAAAAAAACATTTCTCGCTACAACTTCGAGTTTTTCGCTAGTTTTGGGATTTTCAACTCCCGATATCTCAGTTACAGGTAAAATAAGCCAAAACTGTCATATTTGAAAATCATCTTGTTTATTCTGATCTTATAATTAGCAAAAAAAAAAATCGAATTCTATCCTCTACTGTACTATAATTTGATGTAACTGATATCATGCATAACTAAATACAGGGGTAAATGACTAAACACTCATAATGTTATGAGAGCTTCAGCAGTTTACACCACAAATTATTGCCTTTTCACTGACCTACCCAGGTGAATTGATTTACGAGTGAAAATAGTGCCCAGTGACTAGCTCATTTTGATCACCAATAAAAGGAAAAAAGGAAAATAAAAAAAGCTATGTAATTTGTTAATTGTTTTACAAAATACTGTGTGAAACATCCAAGCATCTCTTTACCAGAGTGCATAAAGAAGTTGCAATCTTATAAAAATATTTTAATACTTTAACAATAACAGCGTTCTACTGACCGAAATACGTTTTAGTGTATTTCTTTACCTTTTTTTACTTTTCTCCTCTTCACCACTGATCGACTCGTTAGCTGCTTGGGCAATCGGTCACGTCTCTGTTACGCACAGTTGGCAAGTACAGTACTGGGCAAGTGGGCATGTATTGTCTCCTGAATGTATCTGAACCTGCTTCAGTGCTTGTCAAGTCTGTGCTTTTGTTTCTATTACAATGTTTATTTTGATCTGTCAATCAGGGATGTCGATCGTTAATTCTTCTCAATTGTTGATGTATAAAATTGCAGAAACCAATGCAGGCACAAACTGCCTTTACCCCTGAAAATATCACAAAAAACTAATTTAGCAATTTTCGATTAAGGATCTTTGAAAAATCTTAGTCTGACAAAAAATCCACAACAAATTCAGGGCACAAATTCACACTAGTACTTTGAGCACCAATGGCCTAAGGTACTAAGCTACCGGTACTTTACCAACAGTCCTGACACATGGCTCACCCAACAGGTATATGGGAGATGCCCATGAACTCACACTTTAGGGACTTCCATTATCAGGGTGGATTCTGCCCTTACTTGGACCAGTGCGCCCTTAGCTATCAAAATGAACCTGATGTATTGGAATGGCTCGTCCAGGACTTCAATCGCCATTACCTGGCCAATAGGTAAGCTCCCTTGGTTGCCATGTTCACTCTCCAAAATATATAAAGCATTCTTGTTCTAGACTTAGTAAAATTACTGTGATTTAGGGATACCTAATGTAAGAGGGAGTTTTGGGCTGCAGCTGACAATATTTGTCCAAAAACACATCAGATCATATTATGCGAGCCTTTGTATGGTTATCAATCTGTTTTAGGGATACTGAGTCAGAGGGGGTAGTATCTGGTAACAATTTTAGTCCAGAAATACATCAAATATTATAGTTAAGGGAACAGTCATGTGTTTTTTAAATATATTTATTGTAATAGAAGGGGAGTGGTGGCTGAGTGGATACAACACTCATCTAGCTGGTTCACCCCATGTCCACCCGCCTGTGAATTGTTACCTAACATTGTTGTTGAGGGAAGTAAAGGTGATCCAGTGTGTTGTATCCATTCAGTTTCCAATGAGCTGTCAGGCCTATGGGACCCATTTTCACTTTTCAGTCTTAGAGGTTAGTATATTTTAACTATGTTTAATGTAAGATGTTACTTTATTTACAAATTTATTTGTCTAAGGAGGTTTGTTTATTCTAGGTACAGTAGTTTCATTATTCGAGGTTACTCTATTTTAAGCATCCAGGAGGTTGCTTTAGTCTAAATGGGTTTAGTTTAATTGTTACTTTAAGTAGAAATAGATAGTGCTTTGCTATAGGGAGTTTTGATCAAAGGCTGCTTTAAGTAGGCTTTACTTCAGCTGATTTCCACAACACATCCCTCCTTCAGGGCACCTTACATGATGTCTCTCACCACCAACTGGTTCCAGACCCCAGAATTGAAAAATGCCATCCATGCCTTCATCGATTACACCATGCAATTGTGAGTACTGTACCTGTCATTAGTGTTAGAGTACCTGTTTGTGGATTATGGATACCTGCTAATAGTTTGCGAATGTGTGTGTGTATGTACAGTATATAAGACTGTTAATGTTATCCTTCAGAGACACCTTGATTATAAAGGAGATTATTGACAATGCATCATGTTCATCAAAAGTTACTTTATGTACTAAAACTTTGCCAGTTACAAAAACAAATACCTGTACTGTACTGTAATAAAAATATGGAGTTTTGTGAGTTGAGAAAAACCCATGGGTAATTGCATGACTGATATAAAGTTTTAATTGAAAATAAATTACATACAGTCATAAGCGCTTAGGGGCCATTCACACTTAACAGCATTTTCACACGTATACAAAGAGTACACTTTTGAAGACCCCTCTCCCTCCAAAAAAAAGTGTGCAAGGAAAATTTTATATATTTTTTTACAATGTATGTATTGCATTGAAGAACTAGAGATACAGTACTGTAATACCTCTCTATACTGAACATCTATACAGTACTGTACTACAGTACATATAACAAAATTTACAATATATTACTGTGATGTACAGTATACCAAACTGCCCTCAGATTCCACTTCCACTACATCTACTGTACTGTAGTACCTCTCTGATCTGAACGATTTTGCGATGAACCGAACCTTTCCTCAAATATCTCAAATATTCAAATATGTACTGTAAAACAATGCACTGATGTGACTTAGAAATAAATAAAATATAATTTAAAACTATAAAATAAGAAAAATGAGGAAGGGGAACCTAATTGTCTGGAAAAATCAAATTTTTGAATTTTGCCACTTACTGCGGCTAGTTTATAGTGTACCTCATACTCATCCTGTGAGCTGTAGCACAAAAGGATTACAGAGTATGGTTTACAAAGGGTCAGAATAATTAACCCCTGTGGTCAGGATATTATGGCACTGAATGTTACACAGTACTGTATTTCAAAGTACTGGAGGAGAAGGTAGTAAAGGTGGGTTACCGGCTGGACCGAGCTGAAAATTCCGTCTCTGGACCCATGGCCCTCTTAAAATGACAGTATGCATTTTCACCATAATCCCATATCATTTAGGTTCATTTGCTATTGGGTTAACAAAAAATTATTGTAAAATACGTAATCAATTTTCACAAAAAATAATTTCACACGCAACCCCAGATGTTTTTTGTGTCATATTAAATTCCTAGTGCTCTGGTTACATAGATGAACAGCTGACCAACCAGCCAAATCAGGTGCTGTTTATGTAATATATAACTACTTACGGTATGTATAATATCTGTGTTACTGTGCGTATTTTTTAATGTACAGTATATTATGTATGACATCAGTGTTTATAAAAGTCTTGTGCTACCAAACTATATTGAAAAAAAAATGGAATTGTGACAATTTATCTGGGCTAAAAACACCAAACTTTTTCATACAGTAGTAAACTACTGAACAAACTTCGGTATTGAAGATGTTGTTCAGATTCATTTTATACCGAAAAATTCCTTTTACAGAATTGGCTGCTAAACAATTATTTTGGTACTTTAGCACTGTTCGTCATTCGCTGATGTTACTAAAAATAGATTCGAGACAACATGGCACAGCACGGCAACGTGGGAACAGAGGACAAACATCTCAATAGAAATATATACAGTACTGTATCTGCAGTTCATATGTTGACAGCTGTTATGCTGTATTTGAGTGTATTTTGTTCTATGTCTTTTAATTAATAATATAATAATTGTAGCAGTGGTTATATGAATTTATTATCGAGGGCAACAGGTAAACAACATCTTGTTTGTTCTCCGCACTATTACCACGTGGTTGCCCAGAAGCTCCGCCCACAACTATGTGACACCAATGACAAACAGTGCTATAGAGAAAGAATACTGTATACAAGTCAATATTTACACTAAAAAAAGGGGGTGGGGGGGTATTTAGCACTATTAAACTAGAGGAAATGTACAGAAGCGACACTGAGAATGGCCACTGTTTACATAGCAGCGATCACAAAAACCACTTCTCTATGTAATTAGCAGGAAGATATGGATCGACATTTTTCACATTTCTAAAAGTATACTGTACAGTGCCCTTAACCTCCCCTCTCCCAGCATACAGTTTATATGCTCATGAAAAGGTTGATAATTGTGAATGGCCCTTTGTCATGCATCCAGCTTCCACAAAGTGTGCCATAGCTCTCAAGGCAAAGGTCACGAATGTACAATTCACAGAGCCATCGCACTCACATGAACAAACACCGGCGCCGGTTGGTAGAACGGTACCGCTCTTGCCTCGTAAGCGAGATGTCACGGGTTTGATTCCTGGGCTGGTGGAAAGTTGTTCGGACACACTTCCCAGCCCCCCTTGGTCCCTGTTCACCTAGCAGCAATGTAGGTACCTGCTGTAAATCAAAAGTTGCAAATTCGTATTCAGGGACAAGTTGTTGGAGCTTCCAATAACTTGCTTAGACATAAACCATTGACTCTTCAGGCTTCTACGCCCTTGACTCTTTAGGCTTCTATGCCCTTGACTCTTCAGGCTTCTACGCCCTTAACTCATGAGACATAAAAGGCAAGCATGAACTTAGCATGCTTCTCTGTTGGGCACTGTAAATGCTTCTGTGCTTCACCTTACACAAGGATGTAAGGGGGTACCCAAAAAAAAAAAAAAAAATGAACAAACACCCATTCCTGACATTGCAGCTGGCAGGTTTATTATCACTTATGATTGTTGATCTCCATTGATACTTAAAAGCACAGGATAAGTTAAGCTTCCAGGTTAACAGCTGTTCAGTAGTGTAAACAAAGTTAATGAATGGATCTAGAGTGCGACCAAGTGTAAAATAAAATGCTCTTGACTGTGAATACAAGAATTCAAGCACTAGAAAGAACCTTAAATTGCCACATCAGCCATCAAATAAAAGAGCAGATAGAAACAATGTTTTAAGGACTGTTATGTGTGAAAACCCTGGAAATACCCTTAAATTATCAATACTTTTGATAATGATATGTTTACAAACACTGTACTGTACTTCCAAATAAATCTAACACATCTCTTTTGCGGGAGCAGTGAAGATGTGTATTACACCACTGTAACGGAGGCATTGCAATGGGTCACGACACCTCAGAAGCTCAACGACATCCCCCGCTTCCAGCCATGGGACTGCAAGCAGAAGTTCCTCCCTGACCCACCCTGTCCCAACCCCAAAAGTTGCAAGCTTTCTCTGACACCCAAGTTTGACAACAGAACTACGGCACCCCATGGCTCCAGGTAATCCTACAGGTTTTGAGGTCAAGTGAAGTATGGCATAAAATGGGTACATTACAGGATGCTTTTATATAATTAGTGCTTTATTTGTCATGCAATACTTTCAATAATTTATTTTATTTACCTGGTACTTACTATTAACCTCATTTTACCAAGTTCCCACTACCTGTACATTGATCACAGGGTTGCACCACTATTATTTTAAGCATCCCTGCAAACACCACTTACCTCCACGTATATTACAACCACCAATCATCATCCAACAATTTATACTACTTACACCATAACTACCCACACTGTATCACAACAATACCCAATACAATCACACACAACACAACTATTCATACAGTGTTACTATTTAATTATCTCACCACAAATATATAGAGGACAGTACAGTACTAGTGTACTAAAACTACCCTCACCAATGTTACACCACAACTAGTTTTCAAAATAAAAAAAGAGAGGAGTAATGGTTATGGCTAAGCAGTAGGGCAGGTTATAGCTAGGCAGGAAGACAGGTTTTAATAAGATGAAAACAGGTTAGAATAAGAGGAAAACAGGCTATAATAAGACAGGTTATAGGAGGATAACAGACTAATGTAGAGTCGTAGAGAGCGGGACCGAGAATAACCATGAAATAGCAAACTGCAATACTGTACAGAGTGCAGTTAGTTCTGCTATAACGCGATAGTTGTGTTCTTGTAAAACATCGAGTTATAGAAATTCGCGTAATAGAAATAACAGGGCTTATGGAGAAAATAGGGTTAGGTGCAGATTACTACTCGAAATCGAAAAAAATTAGTAGTTAGCCTAACACAAAGGATAGCACAGTCTAAATAAATGTTACATTCATACCTAATAATGAAATCATACAGTAAATGTAACACTTTACCTCGAAAAAATATGAATATAACTTGATGGGGAGAAGGGTGATTTTGAGGTAGATAACATCGAGCTTCTCTTCAATGGTTATAGCCTTTCTTTTACGATCATCACCGGGAATGCGATCACCAGAACGCTTCTTGAAGATATTCTTCTTTACCATATTCACAGTTAATACCACAAAATTGGAGAAATAGTAAGCAAAAATCGCGTTACAGCAAACAAGCGTTCGCGTTATACAAATATCGTTCCTCTATTCATAAATCGCGTTAGAGTCAATTCACGTTGTCAAAACACGCATTATAGCAGAACTCACTGTATATCAATCTATGTACTGCACAGCAATTAAATAGAAAATTCTAGAGTACAGGTCTGGAGCTCCCCAAAATACACAAAGTAAAAAGAAAGATTTAATCAAGTCATTTACTGTATATATCATCCAACTGGACCACCTCAACAGCAGGCTGATTCATCACACCATGTATCTTTTACACACTGGCAACCTTGTTAACAGATGGCGCAGCTCATAACACTGATGGTCATTCTTTCTCAGGAACTGAAGTGAAAAATTTGAATGCTTTTATAAAAAACATTAAAAGACATATTTAATGGTCTCCTTACACTAAGGCAGTTTTATTCACTGAGCTACTCTACAAATTTTGCTTTAATTTTTTCATAATTTTATACCATAATCTAAAACCACTTTATTTTAACTTACCTGGTCATGGATCATCTTATCTAGGAGTCGTCTGTAGGTGCATTTGGCTGGCCTTGTGTGAGACAACCATGGTGCCATCACTGCTATCTAGTGAGATGTAGGGGAATCTTTCACTTGTTGTCAGTGGATGAATATAATGGTCATTTGAAAAAATTGAATTTTTATGGGCTAAGACCAAGAAATTACAGATTTTGACTACAATAAAGCAAATAGAAGTAATTTAGGGTGCTAGGAAATAAAAAAGCAAAGTATGGAACTGAAATAACAAGGGTTTACCGTATAGTAAGCATATGGTAGACAATACGAGAGGTTATAATTTGGAAATTTGTAGTCATGCATTCAATGAGGAAAATGCTTTAATTAGGCAGATTATAATAGAAAAGGCAGGTTTCAGTACGTATCATAAACAGTTGGCAAAAAATAAAAAAGATAGGATGGAAATGTCATAAGACAAACAGATACTGAAGACAGTGGTGTCCACCTCTCTTGCAGGTACATGGTGACGTGCTATACGTGTCCTACTGTGTACCCATGGGTGTGGGATGCTACAGGTTTGGGATTTGACAAGGACACCTATCTTCAGTATTCCAATGACCAGGCTGACTTGGCAGACCTGGACTCCACCACAGCCTAATCATTTGTGAAATTCTAAACTGTGTGCATTATGCCCCATACATATAATTACAAACTAAAAATCTGAATTATCAATATTCCTTTAATGGTTGATTATAATGATGAAATAACAAATTTTTTTACCTATACTGTATAACAATTTACCAATGTAACAATATTCAGACAAAAGGGTAAATAAATCACACCCAAATCCTTTATTTATCTGTGAGGAGAAACTAAAGAATACAGTCATGGTTTTGACCCAAAGAATATCCATAAAGTTAATGATTTTTTTTGTACAGTACAATATGTAGAAAAATGCATTGTGCAGAAATGTTATCCATGGTACAGGTATACCATATAAATGTATCAAATACTGTACTGGACATACACATATAATCAATGGGGAAATTATCAATACACTGCAGTAGTATTAATGAACAGTACCTGTGTATTTTACTTTAAATAAATAAAACTGTTTAATTTTAAGTATGCTCTGTGAATCTGTATTGAGCATGAAAATGGCTTTTACTGTCATACCAATATTGTATTTCAAAACTGATGAAAAAAGTTTGAATTTGAAATACCCTTTACTGTATGCTGGTGGGCTGAACCATCTTGAAGCAGTCACACACTGCACAGTATAGAGAAATATTATGTTAGTTAGGCCCTATTGAATGATTAAGGAATTTGGGGAGTCACTTAGTAATTCACACATCTCATTCTGTGTTAACTGAACCAGTGGAACTTACCTATTAGGTAAGCTTGCTCATTTTATCCAATTTTAATTTCTATGTATGAAATGACTTGATAATTATTACAAGTAAACCTCCAATTATATTTGTGTTTTATTTTCAATCATCTCTGTATTACATGTTGTGAAGAGCTTATTGATTGCTGTATGGACTTTGAGAACCGTTATCTCTTTTTTACACAATTTCACAACAGAATGCATAAAGCAGACAAAAAAACTTCTTTGTTAGAGTAAATTCCCTATCATGAAATCTGTCATGAGCCCATTTCATAATACAGTACATGCCTTAGTGTACTTGAAAGTAATTTCATACTTTGGTTATACTGGTCACATATAGTGTGGCCTTGTTCATGCTCCGTAGTGGTTTTGTCCCAACCACTTATCCCATTATTCTTCCCTTTAATTAGAATACTGTACAAGACTAAAATTTAAAAATTAATAAATAATTACTATATTATTTGAGGAGTAGCCTTCCATAAGTGCCCAACTGCCAGAAACAAAAACCTGACAAAATGTGGTGTTAAGATACACAACTGAGTCTAATGCGGTGTTTGGTCAAGCAGGTCATTTTGTTGCAATCCTACTGTGTGACTGCTGCTTGGGCTGGAAGGCACATATCATGTCTGGCTTACGACTAAATGAGAAATTACTAGATGAATAAAAATTTCACACGATTTAGTTTCCACAAGGATGTTGTTTTCCAACTCCTTCACGGTCTTACACAATACAGTCTCTCCTCGACTTATAATGGGGTTCCGTCCCGACAACCAGGTCATAAGTTGAAAAGGCGAAAATAATACATAGAAATTCTAAAATGGGTGTCTCTTTTTCTTCTCAGCACCACAAGAACTCTCACTTTTACGCTTGCCAGTCATTTTAAAGGGAATTACAAACGAAAATTTTGTCAGTACACAGCGCGATCACTAAGGTCGGTACTAGAAAATACATAATTTGAAAAATATTTTATACGACTACGGCGGTAGTATGTCCGGGTTGTCGTAAGTCGAGTATGTCTTAAGTCGAGGAGTACCTGTATATCAATCATTGCACTCTGGACACTTTTTGCTAAAATGTTTTCCCATAAACCACACATTGATTTTGGTGGTGATAGTACACCTCTGGAAGGCTACCGGTACATTATACAGTATACCTGAAATAATACGAGTCCATCCAAAAGGAGGAAAATTTATTATAATGTACAGTACATGTACAAGTATATCAAAATATTCATAAATGTACGACCATCAAATTTCTAAATAACCGAGTGATACATTTGTTTCATATACTGTATGCTGTACTGTACTATACTGTTTATTTTCTGTCACAATCACACTCACCTATACACAAATGATCATATGCAGGTGATCAGTTTGATATAGCAGAGCAAAACTAGTCACCATGTAATAAAAAACTGAGGAAGATCTTGTGCTAAACTTTCATTGTCAAATCATGAGTAAATTTCTAAAGGAGTTCAAGTGACAATGAAAAATTAACTTTGGTTTGGAAAATTCATAAATTTAACTCGTGTGTGCAATGCTTGAAGTCACACAGAAATGTGAGAAGTCAAATGATTTTACCATAAGACATTGGCCCCCATGTTCCAGGTACAGTTGATGCTGGATCTGACACTAAATATTACAACAAAGGCTTGTGCATCAATACACAAGTGTACTCATACAGTTGAGGGAATGTAACATTACTTTTCCACTCTTATACAGTGTACCTCTAAGTACATTTTTATTTAAATGGGAATACTGTACTTTACATCTTAATATAAAACAACAACTCTGTTTATCAAACCAGTCTGTATTGCACTCATTTATACTTATAAACTTTCAATCAACTAAATGTCTATTATGGCAGGAATGATTTTACTAAACTGATAATACAGAATTTTTATATAAATAATTAATTACCTGTAATTACATAAGTAATTTCTAATTAAAAAGAGGTACATAATCAGTCAGTACCCATAACATTCAGAACTAATACTGTATACAGTACATGAGTTACCAGTTACTAAGTTATCATAGCAGTTTACCTCTACTGTACTGTAATAAACTAAATATACAACTAGACGATTAAGTTAATGAACCTGAAGCATAAAAAGCCTGTGCCCTGTATATTGCGCAGCAGAGCATTAAGTATGAGTGACAAAATCTGAGGCAGTCTCTTCATGATAATCTACCTGAGTAACATTTTGGTTATCACAGTAAAAAGAACAAAAGCATCAAAAGCAGACATAGACATCTGTTCAACATAACTGAAAGATTAACTAAAGGCTCACCATTTTATGCATTATTCATAGTACTACATGGATCCCTCGATATTGTACAGTATATGGTTAGGCTGAGTTCCTGAAAACCTGATCAGTAAGTGAATGCTAGCATATTGAACACGTTTTAGCATGGTTTCAGTGGGGGTAACATTCCAGGAGTCACTAAAAGTGGAGGTTATCAACCAAAAAGGCCCTAAAATCATGATATTAAAAGCATCTCCACACCACAAGGCAGTTCATACATCATAAATTTTGCATGAAAATAGTGAAATAATGTTCAACAGAAATTGAAGTCCAACTGTTTTGCGACAAAATGGTGTTAAAAATTTAAATTGATAAAAATTAAAAATCTTAAGTCAGGATCAAGGGATTCCTGTACATATTTATAAAGTTAATAAATCTGACATTGAAGATTGTCATCAGCTACCAGGGCTAACTTCAGATTCATTTGTGGCAGCTTCTCTTTTTCTTTTTTTGTAATTAACTCTTCAGAAAGTTGTAGAACATTTAATGATTTTTCATTTGGGATAATAATATATAATTTATAACAGCCTTGACATCTATGGGTGACAATCAGAAATATACTTTTGCTCTGGAGTGCTTTTAAATATGTGCTAATACAGTACTGTAATAGTTGTTCTACCTCCAGTATAAATAATAAACAGGCAAATAAAAACTACCAATAATGGTTAACAATAATGCTGATACCAGGGCGGTGAAAATACTCTTAAAAACAAATTAATTACAAATCAATAAACTGTAGCAGAAGGCGAACAGAAACTGAGTATTTTCAATAAATGTTATTATTCTAATGAATTTGTTATGATGAGAAAAATCTTTTCTGAAAATATATCTTAGTTTCTTTACAATTTGAACCATATTCTAAGATGAGAATTTCTAATATCCATATTACAGTTTTCATCATTACTGGTATTTTACAATGACCTAATTTTTTTTTTTTTTTCATTATTAGAACAGAAACATGATAATAATAAATTGGAAAAGATCCAATAATATCTTAAAATGTGAGAATTCTAAGACTGCCATAGTAGGTCAGGGTGGCCTAGTGGTTGGGTAGCTATTATTATTTACCTGGTTACACACTACTTCAGGAGGCCATTTGCCTAATCAAAGGGAGGTATGGGTGTCTGATGACTAAACTGATATCCCCATCCAATTCTTTTTACCATATGACTCTCAATAAATAGAGTACTAAAGAGGATCATTACTCTACTACTTGTCCATAGCACCATGTATATAGCCCCAAAAGAGCACATGAAGTTGTATTCACTTCATTTCTTTTTCTTCACCATTTTACCTTCCCAAAAATCAATTACTGTATGACTTTGGCAAGGATAAATAAATTATGAGCACCAAGCATCTTAAGGAGCAATTTACTTTCTGAAGTAAGTAAATAACAATAAATTATACAAGAATAATACAGTACCTGTATATATAAAATAACCATTAAGCTATCCTTTCTATTGAAAGTTGGCTTAGTGACCATTAAAACATGAAGGATTGTGGGACACAACCCCATTTTATGACTGAGGAGGCAAGAGAAGTAACCTGCAAGATATATGTCATGGGTTGCGTTAGGCTTACCCACGCAACCAACTCCAAAGTTTGTTTTACCAGAGATAAGACGCCCGGCGAGGCATAACTGGGACATGTATTTTTCAATTAGTGTATGTCAGCCAGCCTTTAGGGGGGTGGGCAGTGAAACAGTGTTGTACTGTTCATCGCTTCACACCCAAAAACCTCATTTTAAGTAGTATCCCCTGAGCCATGGGTTAGTTAAGACGTCGTCTCCATCCTCTCCCTCCTGAAGGGGGGGCGGGGCGGGACACCACACCACACAGTCCTCCACCGCCACTCCGTCCTGTGAACCGTCGTCGACACGAGACTAAGCGTGTTAACCTAGGTTGTTATCCCCGTGGAAATATCACGTGTGGATGCCTGGTTGCGACAAGAGTAATCCAGGCTGGCCTATCAAACCTACAGTAAATGGTTAATTAATTCACGCTTACAGAGTTCTCCTGCACGACACCCGTCTACCGTGACCGCGATCGACACGAGACTAAGTGTGTTAACCTAGGTTTGTTATCCCCGTGGAAATATCACGTGTGGAAGCCTGGTTGCGACAAAAGCAATCCAGGATGGTCTATTGCACCTAATGGTTAATTCAAGTCACGCTTACCAGTTCTACTTGCCGCGACAACCGTCCACAGTGACTGTCAGTGACGCGAGACTGTGTGTGGTAACCCAAGAGTACCTTTTTGTTGTTATGGCCGTGGGAAGAAGTTCTTGTGATGAAGCCTGGTTGCAACAAAAGCAATCCAGGCTGGCAGTAAATGTATCACTTGAAGAATTAAGGCTCTGTTAAGTTACTCCCATAGTAGAGTAATCACATGTGTCCCCAAGATAAAATTCTCTTTTAGAAGATTAATTTTATTACAGCGTGAACGTGAGTGAATCATATAGCCATGCAAATTGTAAATCATTGTATGGAAGCTTGACAATTAAATGTAAGTGCAATTATCTGCCCGTATCTGTGATCCTATCTTATTATTACTGAAGGTAATGACTGATTGGCTATGACAAAGTATAACCAGTAACTTAGATGGATGTTGAAAATTAAATGAATTCATTAAATCATCATTTATCAAGTATAAATCATGGAATGTCGAGTGGTGGAGTGAACTTCTACGTAGATACGCCATAATCTCCTGTAAGTAATCAGTGTGAAGGTATCGGACTCTACGGTAAGAAATATGAAATACGACATATTATTATCTTTACATAATATAATCCACTCATACTTACCACCGATCCACCCCAAAACCATGAAAATATACCACCACAAATCATCCCCAGACAGAGGTTGCCAGTCCCTAGAGAATGTGCAGTACTTAGCAGACAGTGTTTTTGTTGCAAGTAGCCTTCGCACCCACTTAAATTCAAATTCATAATCTACATCCAGTAGTAGTCTCAAGGACTGTTTAAAAGCTTCTCACCCATGTAAGCCATGCCTCAACCCTTCTCACTCCTCTGCTAATTTAGAACTGCTCAAGTGGTGGGAGAGAGGATCTGGAGAGAATCCAGGTCAGATTTTGTACCTTTGGCCATAAATGGTATATTGTGCCTCAACCTTACATGCTCCCTAGATAGGGGCCTCTTTATTCTAAGAGTTTGATACAATAACTTTGGCTGATTTAAAAAAAAAAAAAAAAAAAAGACATGATAGACATTCCTTGCAAGGATGCCACAAAAAAGTTAAACCACTTAAGTCATATGATCTGGTAGAACAATTAGGTATTTACCAAATTTACGATAAAATATTATATGTATCACTCGGAAGATTGTTTAGATACTGTATATGGTTGAAGGTTAAGTTTTTGTTAAAATGCTTTGTAATATCTATGGTATATAAGATTCAATAATGGACAGTGCAGAAAGAGTTGTTAGGACTAGGATTGTATTTTTTCTATATTTTACTAGGAATCCCATCTATGACTGAGGGGTTTACGGTCAACATGAGCAGCCTCTTTCATATGATAATCAACCACTCCTCCAGATGAACCAAACAATAAGTCCCTTCTTTTTGGGAGTGACTGACAGCCACTCTAAGGATTTCTCTGAACACTATTGGTACAATCTTGAATCAGTATAGCAATGTGCCAATTAGCTTTTCTGAGATCTACAGATGTTGTTTGAAAGTTTCTTCTGGGAGCCCAGAAGAAAGGAATGGTTTGAATAAAAATATCAACTGCCAAATATAAACAGGGCATACCCTGGTTAACAAAACTACACTAAAATCTGTGGCAAAAAGTAAAACCATGGCATAGTATGAATCAGATATAGTAAAGAGCAAAATCAACAGTTACCTTTCTCAGTTGCCCAAAAAGATCTTCAGAGTTTGGCTATCAGTTGGAATATGAGAATGGTTGATTTACACTCATCAAGTCAAAAACTTCTGGCCTGAAGTCTAACTAGTTCTTGAGACAATTTCCAGATCTGGATCATGAATACTAATTCAACTGGATAAGAATGATCTTTACAACAGAAATATTGTTGGATTGGATTATGTAATCATGACACTAAGCAGTGCACACTCCTGGGCAATGACAGGCTCTGCCTGGAAGTGGTGGTGTATTTTCCAAGTCAACTGTGACGACCTATGAAACAATGCATGAGGTAACCTATGCCATCACCTACCGTATGTAGACCTGGAGTTATTTACAGTATAAGTCTGAGTTAAATGTAAAAGGTGTATAATTATTGAGTAAATATATGATCCAGCTGGCTTTTTACAATTCAGAGGGCAAAGGATTATATTAATGATACTCATTCAAACTGCAATCTTAAACAAATTCAGGCAGTCCCCAAGTTATGAGAGGGTTTATGTTTCTGGACCCTGTTCGTACATCAGAACAGTGTTAATTCCATAGGTTAGGTTAAAACATATCCCTGCCCATACAAAACAACAGTAATAGCTCATACATAACAAATAATGTAAATACCTGTAAATACTGTAAATAAAGTGATGTTAAACAATATAAAGTATGTTACAGTAAAAAATTTAATTTTAATTGCAGATTTTTGTAATGAATATACTGTACTGAGATCTCGATCGTAAGTATGAGTATTTGCAAGTCAGAGGTTTGTAACTCAGGGACTACCTGTACTACTTCCTCAGTTATGACCTGAGCCTGTGATGAATGATTATTAGCTCTGTGCAATGAACTCTATGCTATGGTATTCATAAATTTTATCTACATGACTACAAGCTGTACCCTTCACCATTACACACTGTTCATAAGCAAAACAATCAGGATCTTAATAATAAAAATAGTATATGTGTGTACAGACCTTGTTACTTCTACAACAGACTAAAAGTCCCACACGGGCACTCATCCTTTAAAATAAATCTTCCCCGCAGTTTAAATAAAAAATGTGTAAATCAGGTACTGACACTGTTATGCAGTTATTTCCTCAACAGTGGATGGACATCTAAGTAGGCCAATGAATACTATTACGTACTACTGTAACAGAGGAAAAACACTGGTAGTATAAAGAGCTGTAAAGAAAAGCAAGTACAGTACAACTAATACTGTACTATATGTACTGTATACCTTTTATACTAAGACCAAACTAATAAAATCACTCATAATAAATAAACTAGCACACAAGACCCAAGAACCTTAACACAGTTTACCAGCTATAGCACCTCAATTCATATCTTACTCCACAAAAATACAAGCTCCAGAGCCTGGCCGAGAGCTAAAAAGAATACTGTTCATGTCACGGCCTTGTGCTGCTGGTTCCTGACTGTAATACCTGTCTTGCAGCATCTTCTTATATGCTTCTGTGGATTTCTCTTCGACCAGTGCCACCATACATCCTCCCCAACTGTAATAAAAGTACAGCACTTGGTGAAGGTGGCAATAAAAGATAATACTATACTCAGGTGGAGTAGGAGCGGAATTTAACAGGCAAGTGATATTTAGAGAAGGTAAGTGTTTTAGTGTAAAATACAACGAATATATATAATAATCTAGGGAAAACCTAGTTCACAATACCCTGTACACATTTTAAGTAGAGTTACATTTCTGAAATACATGTGTTGACAGTTACATGATTGAGTTAGGGACCTCAAAAAGGCATCGTTAAGTGATTGATTATACTGTATATTGATATTAATAACTAGTGGGAAAAAATAGGTTCCATTCCTGAAACCCTGAAGGGCCCAAATAAGTATTATATCCTGCTGCTACAATGATTAAATAATGTCTAAATAACTCAAATAATTAATAAATAGACATAAAAACAATAAATTTACACAAAATAAAGATTTATTTTAATTTACCTTACATCATTAAGTGATTAATTGTAAATCGATATTAATAACTTATAGAGAAAATTTTGGTTCTGTTTCAGAGATTCTTAAGAGCCTCAACATGTAAATACAGTACAATAGATCCTTCCCATTCATGGGTTTACGAAGCCATTTCAACGATTCGCGGTAAGCAGCTGGTGGCTCGGGTGGCTAGCATGCGAGCTTCTCCCTCAGTGCAACGAGTCACCCCAAGTGCCCACGGCGTCTCATCTCACTCTGTTTGCCCTCACCCAGTACCCATGACCTAGCATCCTGTGTCATACTCTCAAAACTTTTGTGTTTCTTTGTGAAAATGGCCCCAAAAACACTGCCTAGTGTCAGTGCTAGTGAAACGAGTGGAGTGAAACATAAAAGGCAAATGTCAGTGTTGACTCTGGCAAAGAAAATTTAATTATTAGACAAGTTAAAAGAGGGGATGAGTGCTGCCGCGGTTGGTCGGTTGTTTGGTGTGAACGAATCGACAGTGCGGTACATAAAGAATGAACAAGCAATTCGTGATTCCGTTCAAGTGAGTGCTCCTGCAAGTGCTAAAGTGGCACAGGTTGTTCGTGACAGGTTTAATAAATAAATATAAAACGAAAACAATCGATCAACTGATGAAAACATAGCTTCACCTGCCCTCAAAAGATGGCAGTACAAGTGGCCATGTTTTCTGCTCGCAGATATTTCAAATTACTGTAAAGTACTAATATTCAATAATCAATTGCCTCCCACGAATTGTCAAAGGCTTGAGTATATCAGCGAACAGTCAGGGATTACTATATACAGTACAGTACATGTAAGCAAGTATCGCATACGAATATTAAATTTTTGTTGGTAACCCAATTCAAAATAATTGGGGCTCTAGCCCTTACGAATTATGAGATTTTACAAAATATGAGCGACACCTGCCGAGGGGGAAAATACAGCGGTAATTTTCCATTATCTGCCCCAAGGAAAATTTAAATGTTTCTAGGTACAGTATACTAGATTTAGGTTCTTGTGTCATGGTCACAATTGCACGGCTAGTAATTTCAACACTTTACTATTCATATTATGCTCCACCGTCCACAAAACATGTGTGAAACTAACGAGTTACCACCCTAGGAAGGGTTATCAGATATATTGGCTCAAACACTGGGTAATGAAGGAAAAACAAGCGAAAAAAGCTTACGTGGTAGATCATAGATGTACACTCCCGACTAACCAACGTGAACTGACCACAACCCATGTGTGATGCGCATAGTACCTGTATAGTTTGTTTACACCGACTCTGAGATGGGCAGTCAGCAGTTGCATCTCATAGTGACATGTGCGTCATATATATACATACGTAAATGTCCCTCATAATCCCAAATTTTACCAAATATTACCAAAATTTCAATACATTATCATAAAATTTCAAAATGTCTCTCATGTTTAAAAATTTTACCAAATGTTATAGGTACTGTATTTCGAAACCGCAAAACCTTACGAATTATGAGTGATTTCAAATTAGAGAAATATGAATCATGAGGGTTTTACTGTAAGGTAAGGTTATACAAAAAATAAATGCAAAAAAAAAAAATACAGTAAACCTCTTGTAATACTGGTATCAACCTTCAAATTCACTAAAAATATAATCTCTAATCAACAATAAGAATACCTTACCCAGCTCCAGTTAATCGTGCACCTAGAGAAACTCCCTGTGAGAGTTCAACCAGAGTGTCAAGTTTGGGGTGAGAACACTCATATAGTAGCTGTGTGGACCTATGTGAGTCCAGCATGAGCCTCCCCAGTTCTTCTAAAGCTGTATCGTTTTGCTCATCACACACACGCTTGAATTGCCACACACGATGAGCCTCGGAAAAAACATGAAGGGCACGGTCATGTAACTTGAATTCTTGAATATGCCTGGTGTTTTCACTAAGAGTTATCTGAAAAGATATTTCTAATTTGATTTAATTTGTTTTGTGTTTAAGTTTTAATCAAAGGTATAGTGTCAACCATGCCTTGGGTAAGTAGACTTGTCTGATTGTGATAACCCAGATTTTAACAAGGTAAATAATCTTACAGTATTGGATGGATCAATTTGAGTTTAACAAGCATATCATTATCATTCAAAGATCTGCAATTGCATCTTTTATATTACTGTACAAGGTTCAGGCAAAGGTCACTGTTGCTGAGAATGAATGACTGATCCCAGGACCCATAACCTGTGTGACTGAGATTATAAATGTTCACTCCATTACTAGAACTACAAATATTCATATTTAACAATGTCAGTGTAAGTTAATTTCATAATGCTGTACAGTAAAGGTATCCCTCGAGATAAAAATGGGTGAGGTAAAAAAAATGTGAGGCGAATTTACATATCACGAATAGATAAACATAGGTAAAAATAGGGCTCCATTCCCCAGTGACAAAAAGACCCCATATCATACCCCCAAACCACAAAATCGGTTCACAAACAAAAACAAGACCTGCTTAACTAATGATGAACCGTAAAAAACTACTTTAATTTACTTCCTAACACATGAAGAAAAAAATTACTGCTTAACTTTGGTACATTCCCTGATAGGAGGTCTCTCTCTATCCTACTACAGGTAATACAAAGCTACAGTACTACTAATACAAAGCTACAGTACTACTAATACAAAGCTACAGTACTAATACAAAGCTACAGTAATACTAATACAAAGCTACAGTACTATTAATACAAAGCTACAATACTACTAATACAAAGCTACAGTACTACTACTTAGCTGTCACTCAGAATTGAGTATCATGATCATCCAGCCATGATATAATGAAATGAGTTATTAAGGATGTCACCTTCGTTGGTGAGCTCTGAGGTGACTCGAAAAGCCGATATGGAACTGCCAGGGTCATCCACAGATGTTGCACGTGTGGAGGGCTACATCTAGTGCAGAAGAGGCGGGAGCAGCATCTTTCTGGTGTTGGCGATTGTCTGTTTCAGTTTGCAGTCGGGCTGACTTGAAAGCATTGACACCTTCTCGTGTGGTGATCCTCCAACCGCTATGGTGTGGATCCCAGGTGAGGGGGTCGATTTGACACTTTTCAGGTTTGCCTTAAGACTATCCTTATACCTTTTCAGTTGCCCGTCAACATTAAGTTTACGATTTGTTAGGTGACTGTAAAGTAGTTGTTTTGGCAGTCTACTGTCGTCCATGCAGGTAACATAACCAGTCCAACGTAGTTGTTCATGATAACAGTAGCCTCGAGGCTCCTACAGTTGGTGTCAGCAAGCTCAGAAGATGGAACGTAAGTTTTCAAGTGCCTTGAGGTGCCTCCTGTATGTGACCCATGTCTCGCAGCCATATAGCAGGGTGGGAAGGACCACTGCTCGATATACTTGCAGCTTTGTAAATTATTTCAGCTCCCTACAGCTGAAGACACGGGTACGGAGTCTGCCAAAGGCTTGAAATGCACATCAAATCCAATGTTGAATCTCTTCATCGATGTCCGTGGTGGTGGACAGATGGGAGCCGAGATACTGAAAGCGGGCAACATTAGAAAGGGTAGTACCGTTAAGTTGGATGGATGGTGGAGATGTGACTGAACCAGGGGCAGGCTGAAAAAGAATGTGAGTCTTACGTACATTCACCTCAAGGCCAAAGTGTGCATATGCATCTGCGTAGGTGTTCAGAATCTCCTGTAGGTCGCTTTCAATGTGAGCGACAAGGGTGAAGTTGTCTGCATACTGAAGTTCAGTAATGGAGGCTGCTGACACGTTTGGTCCTGCCTGAAGTCATCTTATGTTGAAAAGACCATTCATCCGGTACTGCATGTCCTCCATACCAGCTAAATTGGCACTGGCACAAGTAAGGAAAGCAGCCAAGAAAATGGAAAAGAGTTGGTGACCAGTACACATCCTTGTTTTACCCCCATCGAAGGCCTTGGTTAGGTCGATGAAGGCCATGTACAGGTCATGACACTGTTCTCTGCACTTTAACTGTATCTGGCGGGCAGCAAAAATCATGTCAGTGGCGCCACGTGATGGCCTAAAGACACATGGAGATTCTGGGAGGAAGCTTTCTGACTCAGGAAAAATTCTGTTTAGGAGGACTCGGGCGATAATCTTGCCAGCTACGGACAGCAGTGAGATCCCGCGGTAGTTGCCACAGTCTGACCAGTCTCCCTTGTTCTAATAAATATTGACGATGGAGGCGTCTTTAAGAGCTTGGAAGATTTCCTCCTTTTCCCATATATTCTCCAGGAGAGAGTAGAGACGGCTAGTAAGCAGGGGTCCTCCTGCTTTATACACCTCGGCTGGGTTTCCATCAGGACTTAAGGCTTTGTTAGTTTCCACCTGTTTGATAGCAGTAGCTACCTCATCCAGGGATGGAGGATAGCTGAGGTAGGTCAGCTCTGGATGCTGAGGGACCTGCTGGGTAGTCAGGACAGCCACACTGGTGTTTCAGTTGAGCAGCAAATGGTAGTGCTCTTTCCAGCGCTGAAGGATGACTTCATCGTCTTTAATTAGGGAGTTACTGTCAGATGAGCGGAGGGGGCTGTGCCATGGGTGATCGGCCCCTAAAATGTTTTAGTAGAATTAAAAAATTCGTGCATCTTGTGTTGATCTGCAATTTTTTGTTTTACATGCTTTATTTTTCAACCATTCATTCTTTAGTCTGTGAAGTTCGCGCTAGGCTGCCGTTTTCTTCTTGTGGAAGGTGCTTTGATCCAAAAATGAGGGTTGCTCTGCCAGTCAGTTAATGCAGCACATTTATCATCAATGAGTATATTGATTTCCTGCTCATTTTCATCAAACCATTCCTGGTGTGTTCTTTCAATCAGGCCAAGGGTCTCTCTGCAGGCTTTTGTCTTGACAGAATTTTTTTAAGAAATTTAGCAATGATAGCATTTATTCCAATTATTTATTTTTCATTCTCATCACTTTCAGATGAGCACAAAATTAAGCCTACAAAACCATACATTTTTAGATATAAAGACCCACTTTATGCACCCAGAAATGTAGGTCAAAGTAACACAATATTGCTAAGGACATAATCAGGTCAAGCAGTGTCAACCATTGACCTGAAGCTGATGTCAATAACTGTTTGACCAAATACGATGGTGACCCAGCAAGTGATGGTGTTGTCATTTGATACAAAATAATTATTCAATGATTAGTCAGATGCCTGTGCATTATTTTTAATTTATTTATTTCTTTTTGTTTTGAGGAGGGTGGTAGTTCCAAGTACTGTACTGTAGTAACCTTGAACCTTTTCCCTGGCTACAATTTTGATGGCCTTCCTTGCCTTACCCCACTTGGATCTACCACAGACAGATTGAAAACCTACATTAAAATGCTGAACCTCACCTGATCTAGCTCTTCAGGAGTTGTGCGAAGTAGCTCACAAATTTCATCTTTTCCATATGGTCGAGCCTCAAATGTGTCCGTGACAAGTGTCATCATCTGTGGAAGAGACTTCCCCAAGACTTTTTGCAGATCTCCTAATTTTTGGTACATCTTCCATGCTAATCCTGTAAAAATTTACAATTGCAATTACTGTATACACACAAACTTTTCATCTTCTCCATATACATTACTCTCACACTTATCTTAATATTTCTGTAGAATGCTTTTACTGCATTAATCAACTTTCCTACTTCATAAATCCTCATCACTTTTCACAATACAGTACTGTACTGTCCTTCTTGATCACCCTATCATAGGCCTTCTCTATTTATTATTATTCTTTTTTTTTTTGCATTGAATGAATTTTTTTCCCCACAAAACAAAACAACAATTTCCATTTACATTTCTTCCTGCAACCCCCTACTTTACCTTATTTAACCGGTAAATAAAGCATAATCTTGAGACCATCATATGCAGAAGTGGTCCTCATGAACCATCACACCTTTACAATATTATATCTCCAAAATAGCACCAAAACATGGGAATTCATCAACATAAATAAAATTTTATGCCACTATCTTTTAATTTGGAGAATGGTCGTGAGGAAATTTGATTTATTACGCTCCTCTGTCACTCTGGCATGGACAAATTGCACCTTCCTCTAACCATGTGCCAGCCCACCCTCCCACCAACTTCTCGCCCACCCTCCCACCACGTGCTCGTCCACGCTCCCACTATCTGCTCCTCCACCCTCCCACTATCTGCTCCCACACCCTCCTACCACCTGCTCATCCACCACACACCACATGTGCTCTAACCTCACTCCAGCAATTGAGATCCAAATAGATAATGTTTCAAAACTGTAAGCCCATTGGTAGTTATGAATATTTTAGAAACTCCTTTTGGAAATGCCATTGTGATCAGGGTATAGAAACAGATATTTCAAAACAGTCATCTTCAATGTAATGTGTAGTGACCACACCATTACAGTTCCATCTGCCTAGCAAGACAAACACAAGTCGAATGACGACGTCATGGACAACACGGCCTTTAGAGGACCTCTCGCAGATCAGCGAGAGCTTGTGCAGTGCCAACGGGTAGACCTATATGAACCAATCAGCAAGCTCACAATACCAGCCTTGAGCTACGGCCTGGCTGTCCCCGTCACTCCTGCTCCACTTAAGATCCTGACCACATACCCTCTCTCAAGCAGCACCTCACCTTTATGTGAACCAAGCCACCCATTCACAATGCAAATGAACCACTCAGCATTCTTTAACTCACCACTTTCCTAAGGAGAATTAGACTGACTGCAAGTTAGCCAAAATGAAATTAATATTTCACAGCTTGTGTTTGTCTGCACCATTTTTGTTGGTCCCCTATAAGTAGAGTAAAGGAATGCCATAAATGTGTTGAAGACGGTGACACATGTCCAAAAGTATAAAAAAAATTGTAAAATATAATACAGTAAGACCTCTGTTAGCCGGAATCCCTCTGAACCACAACTCTCTGATAGCCGGAATTGAAATTTTCTTGGATAATCATTTCCAAAGACGGAATTGTCCAGAAAATTTCGGCATTAGGAACGATTTTCTGAGGGAACATTTTCCCAGTACTGTACCCATAAATTCCGGAGATGGGTGATTTTTTCTTGTGTGTTTGAGAGATGAAAATCAAGCACATTTTCTGGAAATTCTGAGAAAAATTCGGGTACCCAGAAAATTCTGGAAAATTTCAGGGATGGGGGATATTTTCCTGGGTTCGAGAGATGGTGTAATGCACAATTTCTGGAACTTCTGGGGAAAATTTTTCTGTTACCCCAAAAATTCCGGGGATGATGGATTTTTTTTTCCGGCTTGGAGAGAATCATCTCATTACCCAGAAATCTCTCATTCCCATTAGCGCTCTGCACCAATTGTTCCGGCGAACGGCGATAAAAATTTTTCAAATATTATTTATGATTTCATATCTTCACATTTCCATAACACAGATATTTCCACATTTCTCTTTGACCCTTAAAAAGTAATGGTATGAAGCCCTGATAACATTCAGTTAATAGTTGCAGTGAGCAATTTGTTTCTGAAACAGTTGGGTGAATCATATACAGTGGTCCCTCAGTTAACGAACACAATTCGTTCTAGAAGGTCGTTCGTTAACCGAAACCATTGTTTCAATGGGATTTTGGGTAATTGGCTCCAGCTCACCGAAAATTACATACAAAGTAAAAATAAATGCAGTAAAGTACACTTACTTTGAGGTGTGTATGTAGAAGGCTCCTGGTTGATGATGATGATGATGGGAATTAGAAGTGGGGGTGGAGAAGGGAGAAGAGAAGGAAGTGGGGGTGGAAGAGAAATCACCCCATGCATCATGCCTTGGTGGGTGAGTGAAGTGGCTGTTAGGTGCACCAAAAACTAGTTCCCTGTACTGCAATTATGTTAAATAAGTGTTAAAATGACTAAAAATTTTAATATAAAACTTGGAAAATTATTGAATAGTACAACCTTCTTGATATTTACTGTACTCCAATTTTAATGAATGTAAGCCCTAGAACCGATTTCTGTATTGGCGGACTAATCTTCCAACTGGTGAGCAAGCCAAAGCATGTCAAAATATTTTCATAAGAATTTCGTTAACCAAATTTTTGTTCGTTAAACGAAATGAAGATTCTTATGGAAGGTAATTCGTTAACTGAAATTTCGTTAAGCGAGGGACTACTGTACAATATAAACAAACACAGCACTGCCATATTTCATAAAACTTGGCTAGGCCCTGTAAATGAGGAAGTGAATGGGACTGTAAATTACCAAAATGCTGTACACAACTGTACAAATTACCGTTACCTGCTTTTTGGGCCATAATTTGAGTTGCTAGTCGGCATTCCATGACACGACAGTTGAAACTTGAGTTCGCAGCTTTGTTCATTGGAGCTAAGCTGTTGCCCACAACAAATGTAGCTCCTGGAGGTAGTGTCACTGAGGTTGAACGCAATGGGTTGAACTCAATTACTTTTGCTGTGTCTGCAAATATTAAGACAAATGGGAATTGACACGAGGAATGTGGCATTTGTATGAATATCCAACAGAGCATGTCATTTATATTACTGAAAAGTTTTTTAACTACTGATACTGTGCTTCTTACTTCCAAGAATTTCTGTTGTATCTAATTTATGACAATTGTTTCTCAAACCTCTACTTTTCATATAGATCATGAAATTTCAGTAACTTTGACAAACCAAACCTCAAACTTATCCATACTGAGAAGTAACAAAACAAATGTAATATGAATAAAAAATGACCTTCAGTTGCCAGGAAAGAAATTGCTTGATCCATTCCTCCTCCTTGTGTTCCTATGTGTGTCTCACAGTGAGCACAGATTTCAGCAAGCTTCTCCTTGGTCAGAGAAATACCATGAGCATGTGCAACAGCTAGGGCAGCAGCACATACCAAGGCAGAAGATGAAGAAAGTCCAGATGAGGGAGGGATGTTGCCTCCAACTAGCATGTCCATACCAACCAGAGGACCTTCAATACCCCCTTCATCCATGATCCCTCTCACTCCACACAACACGTAATTAAACCATGCAGGCTGCTCCCTGTGAATCCTAGTATAAATATGTTAGCATCAGTTATTTCCAACAAATAATCACATTGTCAATATAAAAACAAAATTACACTACCTTTAATTAACTTTGTGAAAAATTTAAAGCCTCTACTTACTCAAAATTATTGACATTGCAGAAAAAATCCGGATAATCCTTGTCAATATTATGGACATTGAGTTTTCCCATGTCGTTGGTTGCCAAAGCTATGAGGATATCTTGTTCTACAGCCATTGGAAACACAGCATACCCACAGTAATCCACATGCTCACCAATAAGGTTGACTCTGTAGGAAATTAATATTATTAGGAAGGAAATGCTACAGTATAAATATTAATTTATTTTTCAATGTAGTCATCTCAATTTTGATGGTTTGACCCCTACTGATACAGTCTCTAATTACAATACATCATATCCTTTATCAAAAGAATTGCAGCACAGTTAAATCATTCTCTGTGTACTGTATTAATTACTAAACATCTCCAGTCATTCTACTGTTGAAGACTGATACCACACAGTAATTCTTCGTGAAATATTAATACAGGTACCTATAACTACCACACCAAGGTCAGCCTCAGTACAGTATGCTGTCTATCTTGTCTTTGTAAATGTTCCCCAATCAAGACTAGTTTTTGTTATTCTGTCAACTATTAACTATTATAAGCATTCAAAAGATCTAAAAGCTTATCACAGTTACTGTACAGTGCCATTTTTACAGTAGAGTACCTGTACTGTATATGTGAACCAATGAATAACAATAGGTGTGTAGAATTCAAAAGTTATTTCAGTACAAGTATTGTGCAACATGCATGAATCCATCACGTTCTCCACATCTCTATGTCTCTCCAGCACCCCATTAACCTTTTCACCAGTCACCAAATTATTTCAGCTGTTATATGTTATCACTTATCAACCAAATTTTTTTTCTCATATATTTTCTTTTTTAACCCAAAACATTCTACTACCTGCTTTAATATAATAAAAACCCATAAAATTAACATACCGCCCAGGAGCTCGAACATAAAACTGTGGGTTGTGAGAGAATTCTAAAGTAAACTTCTCTTGGAGAGCTCTGAGTCGCTGGTATCGCTCCCCCTCTGTGGGGAACTTTTTGACTGGAGGACACTTACTGTTGTTCATGTCTGTAATAACAATTACATAAAAATTTATAGGCAATTTATATGAACAACCTATAGTACTTCATAGATAAATATGATACACTGCATTTCTTCATGCTGTAGTTTACAGACAGTTGCACTCTTGATGGCTGTAATATAACACATATAATATTCTGTACTGTATATTTTGTATCTCTTCAGTACATGTGCACTCATCCTTATGCCACTTAAGCTACTACCCTAAATACCTTGTCAAAATATTATGCCTACTAATTTTGTGAAAACTTCCAATATGCCTGTAAAGTACATTACTGTACTGTACAGTACAGTACTATGAACAATGAAAATCTGCCAAATTATAAATTCAAAGTGTGAATATTTACTAATCATTACAGTACATGTACTGTATAAGACTTACTCAACATGGAAGCAGACACTTAAAATTACTAAACAGGCTAAAAATTTGTGCATGTACAGAACTAACAGTTATGGGAAGACAAAACATTTATACCAGAAATTATGGTAAAAAAAAATGACTAAATACTATACCTGTACAGTACTAGCAATTACAATGTAGACTTAACATAAATAGTGTGAAGCATCAGAGAAAGTTAAGTAAGAAGATGCAAATTGAAGAAGGTGCAAGCAATCAATAAAGTGATGTGATCAAACAAATGGGGTAAGAACACTTTAAAAATCAATCATCTTCCTTTCGACTGCTTTAAACTTCTAAATATAATATCAATGTGTATCACAGCAATGTCTTCAGTTACTGCTGAAGTTTACAGGACTTATTTACTATTAAAAAAATTATTTTGTGCTAGAAAACAAATTTTAAACATGTTTTTTCAGCCAAACTTATGATCATATACAGTACAAGTATCTGCTTTTCATGTGCTGAAAATGCCCTGCCTGAGCTCACTAAAATTCTATTTAAACTACTGTATATTCATAACATTTAGTCAGCCGATACCTATGTGGGAGGAGAATCAACAGCCATGACCCACTTGTGGTAATCACTCCCATCTTGTCAATCAGCAAAAACTAGTTATGTTACCCAAATATCATATTGTACACTATGAAAACCTTTTGGATAATTATTGATCTTTACATCACTTATGTGCCTGTACACCTGCTAATTACGTTACCTTTCTAAGTAGTATTCTGATTAAATTTTTCAAAAGTTATCACAAAATAATTAAAAGAGAAACTCAACAAGATTTTCATTACTAGTAAAACTGTACTGCATTAATGTCAGTCTCTACTTACTAAAATTTCAACCACTATGCACCATCACTATCTGACAAGCTCTTATATCCCTCTCACATGGAGACAGGTGCCAATACACATTTAAAGTAAACTACAACTACACATTCCTGGAGCTGTATTTTCTTAACTTTTACATACGTAGTAAAAAAAAAAAACATTAATGCAAATTTGATCATTCAGCAACACAGAACTATGTTAAACATTCATAAGAAAAAAAATCTATTTTGTTCTTTTAACAACTGAAAGCCTGGACAGAGTATAGGGATGGTACAATACGAATGATTATCGTAACAATGTTATCTCCCCAAGAGTGGCACTTGTGGTTAACTGGAATAAAAGATAATAGGTACTTACCGGTAAACCCATCGCACGATGGGGAACTGATATGATAGATATTGCCTTATCAACACAACATTAGTTTTATGCCATGACTAGTCACCTATTACTTTTCAGTATTTTGTTTATATATATATATATATATATATATATATATATATATATATATATATATATATATATATATATATATATATATATATATATATATATATATATATATATATATATATATATATATATATATATATATATATATATATATATATATATGTGTGTGTGTGTGTGTGTGTGTGAGCGTGCTTGTGAGTGTGTGTGTGTGAGCATGCATGTGTGTGTGTGCGTGCAATGATTCTATTAAATCACTGGATATTAAGACCAATTTCATACTTTTTTGTTTGATCAAGCATCTCTTTCCCTGAGTTACCTGTACTGTACTGTACTGTACTGTACTAATGCTCTTATATTTTGCAACTGTAGCATGTACTGTATTTACCTGCAAAACTCTTAAAATTAAATAAATTTGGGTAAATTTCAAGCAGTGACACAGTGTTATAAAATGTCCATAACATTCTTACAATAAATATACTTTATGAGCTGAATATTATAAATAGTTTCCTCACTTAGGCAACAGAACTTATCTTCATATTGAATTCCATGGACTACGGTATACATTAATCACACCAGTTATCAATGAATGACCTTCATAGGTACCCTTCACCGATAAGCAATGGTAATGCACCCCAGAATCAAACTAATAAATTTTAATAATAATAAAAATGTAATTTTAATAGCATATACTGTACAGGTATCATAAATGATTTGATGAAACAAACGGGTTCATTATTATGAACATGTATAAAATTACACGACTGTTAGCAGGTTTAAATAAATCATCATACAGTTTCAAATCGTCCATAATATACTGTATATATATATATTTGGTATATACAGAATATTATATCATTGTACAGATGCTAATATCCATTATCATAGACTTTTCCGAGAAAATTTGAATTCCGGATATGAGAGAGTTCTGGGTTCGAAGGATTCTGGCTAACGGAGATATTACTACTTATACAGTACTGCACTTGGATTGTACAGTACTCATAAAAATAGATAACTATGTTAAGTATGTGATATAACATAAATTTTATTATTGTTTTTATTGTACTGGGGCTGCATACAGTACTCAAAACGCCTCATCAGTTACGTACAGTAGCAGAGATACGGTACCGTAACTTACACACTCCTTACAGTCCTGTATAAATTTCTCATACTCAAAATTTAATTATGGGTCCGTAAGCAGTCTGTAACTCTAGTGTTTACACTGTAAATTCAGTTCTCTTGTCCAAAGGTAGATTGCAGTGCATGAGCTAATTGGCCAATCGTCGCTCAGTTAACACAATCATCAGCCAATCACAAGAAAGGGATAAACCAGGTGAGATCGACGCACATGATAGTTGCTAGACGTACCTCAAACATCATAAGTGAAGATGGAATTATGTTTCAGTAATACTTGAGGACAATGGTTAACCAAGGACCAAAATAATCCAATAACATATATATACTGTATATATTTCATGTAGATCCACAATGGAAACATGGACAGGATAAATCTTGATAAAATCACATAGGAAAAAGGAAACAATGGAGCACCCTTGGTTCGAAAGCCTTGCTGGATTATCCGTTTTACTGGACCAACCAAGGTCACGTAATAATAATTCAACAATACACCTCTGACCCACTAATTATACACCTCCCATGTCTCTAAAGCACCATGGACTGCTAGAAACTTAAATTCAACAAATTTTAAATGTAAATTAAATGTGAAAAAAATTTAATTTTGAGCAACATATTACTGTACTCACTGTGTACTCAAATGTACTACACTAAAGGACTAAAAAAAATATTTATTTTGCAAACTATATGATGTTTATACTCAAATTAATCACTATCTTACAAGGATTCCAGCAATGTAAGTTACATTCTGCTGGGAGGAAGGGAAGGAAGTTAAGTGCCCTTTCGTAATTTTGTCCGGACTAAAGGAGGTGCCGGACCATCAGTTCCCGGAAAATTAGTGGTGTGCCTGTAGTAAAGTAATACCTTGAATGTGGGCATCCTCAGATCTCAACCATCCCAGAAAAGGATCCCATACCCATTATGTGAATTATTAAAGAAATGCAAAAATCAAAAGCCATAGGAATATTGACTTCAGGCTGAAATAATAAAAAGGGAGATACTACAGAGCTCATCATAAACCTAAAGAAGTTAATATAATATTAAGGAAAAATTCATGCCAATTCCACATTACCTTTACCAAGATGATAATGAAGAGAAGATAACCCAGTTGGTGATGAGAAAAGTCAAAATAGATTGCATGGTTGACCTACATCCAATGTTTTCAAGAATGTTGAATTGCAATGAATTTACCACTACAAATAGAGGTTAAAATCTTGCAGAATTCCAACAGATTTGAGAGCGGCTAACTCTGCCCTGTGTATATAAACAAAGAGATAAAAAGATAAAAGACATGGAGCCTCTCAATTGTATACTGTAGGAGACTTTACTTTGGCATCTTTCCTGTAGAAGACCATAATTAGTGAGGCTACACTAAATAAAGTTATGTTGAGAAAAAGTCCTTAAATCATTCTAGCATTACACATTTGTCATCACCTCACCTGCAAGCCACAATTGTTTCTTATTTCAGATTCATGCACAACTAAAAAGGAACTAATAAGCACAGTAAGTGCAATGCAAAAGAACAGGGATCAGAAAAAGACACTGACATAATGAGTAAAATGAAATAATGAAGCAACTTTCACCCATAATGAGTAAGTCATATTTAGATGTAAGCATTAAATCATTGAGCAAACTGAGAAAAATGAGAACCGTTTGAAAATTGGGATATGTTATGCCCACATAGTTTCTATACATAGTAATAAAAACATAACTGGTCTTTTTCATGTAAGACTTAAAATCACTCATTCAACAAACTTAAATTATCATCAATATTAGCTAATTTTAAGTTGCAAATAATTATGATGCAGCTACAGGTACAGTACAAGAATTTCCTCCTGGTAGCTGCCATGCTGTGGCTTAATGGCAAACCATAGCTATAAAAAATATTCAATGACTTGACAGTGAAGGCCAAACTTATTAACTATAAATCCTTTGGTTATATTAAGACAGTTTTCGATACAGAGGACATTACTAATTTTGGCAAGCAGTCCTCAAGAGAATAACACTAATGCATACTCCAAGACAGCAGTACAGTTCAGTACTGTACAGTAATGCACAGCAAAAAAACTGTAAGCCAACTTTCATCATAGAGTGGAGAAAGCTGATTTCCTCTAGATGACTCCATTGTAGTCTGCAGTACGGCATTTAATACCCCAAGAAAATTAGCTGAGCCTTTCCAAAAGTGACAAAATTAACTATTATAGTGGGGAAGATCATAACAAATTTCTGTATGTTGAAGGCACTGATTCTGCATTACATGACCAACACAACTCGACCCAATCCCACCTAACCTGACCCAGTGACAAAACATTCACAAATGTGAATGAGCGAAAGTAATAATCTTAAAAAATAATATCTCGATTACCGTTAATTTACGGTGGAAATAACACAGAAGAAAAACATCCTTGAATTGTCTTAACATTATGAAATACATATTAATAACAGCGAAAGAAAGACCGGTGTAAAATTATAAATTCACCCCCAAAATAATCTATTCTGATACCATAGGAACCAACCAACCTAACCTAACCTATTCTAATACCAGACGAACCAACCAATCTAAACCTAACCTAACTTTACCTAACCTAAAAAAAAAGTGATTTGCCCCAAAGATAAATGTCAGAAACATCTAAAACAAGAAAAACACGGTGAATTTGCATAAGCGCACCACACTCTGTTAGAAAGTAAAAAATATATTTTTCTAGTGTATTTGTGTAAATTTAGACCGAATATGACCTTCATTTTCGTCGGAAATTGGCCTTTTTTTTATCGATTTTTTTTTTCGTGGGACGTTTTCCGAAAAAATAATAATGGCTAAGCGAATAAAAAAATTCACCGAAAAACACTAAGAAAACAAAAACCAAACCTAACCTAACCTAACTGACTCTCACCATATGATGGAATCACCTATTTCTTACCTTATTGGCCTGGTTCTTGTTCGTCGTTGGATTCTGAGATTCTTACAGGTTGCTGGCGTTGATTCGAGACCCAAAATAAAAATCGAATTTGATTGGGCCAAAAATACAGCAAATTAAATAAAAAATAATTTTAATTGGTTGCAAAAAAAATACGCTTTGGATTGGCCGTGTGGCATGTACGGGAACGTATGCGCGTGATGATTTATGAAGGAGACGCGCAGTGTGGGAGGTGAGGTAGGCGATAATGGCATTAGATTAATGGAAGAAAATAAAGAAAATTTTGAATAAGGTATCCCCGTTATTATACATTTGCAACGGTAATGTAATAGATGAAAATTATCTTATAATTAGACGTCTTATTCGAATATGACAATAGATCAGTGGTAAGAATGCGTGGTATGAAAACGCAATGATACCAACAAAACTACCGACAAATATATTTTTCATGTGAAAAAAGGTGATGGGTGGATAACGATAATTAACCGAGATGCCATTAAAGAAAAGTGCATTAGAATTGTCAGTACTCATTACAACTATTAAATTCCCATGATTCTTGTAGTGGCAACAAGTGAAATAATACAATATAAATATAAGGGAGGCATGTAACTACCTGTCCCTGCTCTTAAGGGCCACGGGGCTGCTATAACTACTTCCGGCATCGTTAGCGGTGAGCCACTACACCAGTGTTGTTTACGTCGACAACTGTGTTCGTATCCCTTATCTCACAATGTGCCACAAATTATTACCTTTAATCAACATATATTACCATTTCAATTTCCTCATCTATATGTATATATAATACAATAATAAATGTTAAACATACAGTGCGGTTGAATACTTAACACATATAATTATAGAATGGTTACAGGAATAATTCTGAACACGCATTGAGACAAATGCAAATAAACGAGAGATAACCGTCAAATCAGTTCACGTTATTTAAAGGGTTACATTAACAATAAGAGGATCCAAACATCATAATACGTTATATATATTTTCACCACTTTCAGATTACTAGCCGTTCAGGCGGTTAGTCTACAGTGCCCAATGTTAGTACAGGAGGAATAAACAGGGAGGTACTACCGCCCGGGAAAAATATTGGAAGCATTTTATGTCTTTTTTTTACTTTTATCTTCTTCACCAAAAGATCTGCTCGCTAGCCGCCCGGGCGATCGGTCACGTCTCTGTCACGCACTGTTGGCAAATACTGGGCATGCACCGGCTCCTGAATGTACCTGAACCTGCTCTAGTGTTAGTCAAGTCTTCTCTTGAAAGAGCTCACACTCGGTGCCGTCACAACACTCTCTGGTAGATTGTTCCAAGAGTTTACAACCCTCACTCAGAAAAAGTTTGCCCTCACGGTTTTCCGGACTTGCGGCTTCTTCAATCTTGAGCTGTGACCCCTTGTGGGGCGAGCGTCCGCCAGCTCCAAGTAAGGACACTCAACTGAGTAGTGCCCCCTGAGATGCTTATAAACCTCAACTAGGTCCCCCCTTGCCCGTCTGTAGTATAAGCTAGGCAAGTTCAGGCGCTCCAATCTCTCAGGGTAGCTGAGATGCCAAAGTGCAGGCACCAGTTTGGTGGCCCTCCTTTGAACATTTTCAACCAACTGACAGTCCCTAGCATATCTCGGGGACCAGATGGGGTGACAGTACTCCAGATGGGGAAGCACTTCACTCCTGAAGATCGTCACGAGGGACGGACCGTCTAGATATCTGAACGACCTTCTTATAAGACCCAATAATTTATTTGCCTGATTTACCTTCTTCTCACAATGGCCCGAGAACTTCAGCTCATTGTCAACATACACACCTAGGTCCTTCTCACACACAGTCTCAACTAGTACATTTTCTTCATCCCGTTGGGACATATGGTACGCCTCCTTACCGTTGGTACGCCCCAGGTGCATCCTCTTACACTTCGTGACATTGAATCTCAGCAGCCATTCCTTCGACCATTCCTGGAGCCCACAGAGGTCCTTCTGCAGCTCTTCACAGTCCGCTTGGTTCTTAATTTCCCGTTGGTACTTTTTCTTCTTTTCCACCACTGATTGGCTCGTTAGCCGCTTGGGCGATCGGTCACGTCTCTGTTACACAGTTGGGAAGTACTGGGCATGCACCGGCTCCTGAATGTACCTGAACCCGCTCCAGTGTTGGTCAAGTCTTGTCTTGAAAGAGCTTACACTCGGTGCCGTCACAACACTTTCTGGCAGATTGTTCCAAGAGTTCTCAACCCTCACTTTGAAAAAGTTTGCCCTCAAAGTTTTCTGGACTTGAGGCTTCTTCAATCTTGAGCTGTGACCCCTGGTCCCCAAGATATGCTCGGGACTGTTAATGTTAGTTGATTGAACATGTCCAAAGGAGGGCCACCAGAATGGTGCCTGCACTTTGGCACCTCAGCTACGCAGAGAAATTAGAGTGCCTACAACCGCCTAGCTCATACTACAGCCAGGCAAGGGGGGACCTAATTGAGGTGTATAAACATCTCAAAGGCACTCTATCTCATTCTGATATAAAGACAATGGCATTATATCATGCACAGTTAGTACAAGAGCCAAGTGAGGCATCTGAGTAAGCTAACCAATTGTTACCGGTTGTTTTGAAATAAAACTGGTGTGTTCCCCTTTTTGGTTAATATTTCAATTTGTGTCTCGTAGAAATACCGTAACTTTTATTTCAAAGGTGATACATAAATTACATGATGCACTTCCTCACCTCCCCTATCATAAACAAATACAGTACATTCAGAAAACTCATCGAGATGTTCTAAATTTTATTTAACCCCTTTGCTACACTAATACTACTTATAATGTTAAAAGAAAAATTACAAAATGAGAGCAAAAATAATTACTGTACTAATTAGTGATTTAATTAAATATACCCATGGCAACAGCATTTGTGGAACATCTCAAGAAACATTCACTGAACATACATGCCAAGAGTACATTTAATATATGTACAAGGAAAATGATGTTTTGTACACTTACCACAAAAAGTTCTTAAACAGCGAGGCTTGACACATTTCGGAACAAGTACTATGGCTTGTGTCATCTCAGAATGGATGGTATGTCTGGTTGCGAGGTGACTCAATATTTCGTAAAAATATATGTTGCTCGTCCTTATAGTATTTAAGGTGAAGTATTGTACATGTAATTTAATTTGCAATAAAACTTCCTCAAAGAGCAATGTTCAGATTTCTCATTTGTTCTGTCATAAGTATGACCATAGAGCATTCAAGATTTTTTTGTGGCGAGTATACAATATTTCTATGAGTTACTAAATTTTGTCACTTAAGAGACATAAAAAAAGTATTTATTGAAAGTCTGCTACAAATATTAAATTAACCAAATCAGCATGAAAAGTCATTTCTGTATGTACTATACTCTTCATATAAGATACCAGTACAAAAGTGTGAAACAAGAAAAAAAAAAAGGTTTTCTTGTAGCTACAGTGCATAGCAATTATCACTTACTGTTTGAGATAGAACAAAGGGGCTAAAATCTTAAGGTTTGGCCTTGATGTGTAAAAACTGCACACAAACAAGAGAAAATGTATTCATATAAATTTATAATCCTAACAAGATAATGATTTAATACCTTTGGTCAATAAGTCAAAGTTCACAATCTTAAAGCTATATCTACACAGGGTACAGTACAGTACACAGTAATAACTCACAGGAATGCATCATCAAATCAAACTACAGTTTATAATATTTTTCTTGTATTCAATCAATCACTCCTTTATTTACACCACCTTTGAATCTCAGTACAATATGATAAACACTGTTATTTGGCACCAATAATAAACTTGATCTGTGATTATGAATAAAGCACCTTCTGGGTTGAGAATAGAATTTTTCATAGCCTTACAGAAATAGCAGATCATGCCAGGGCCAGAAAAAATCATCCCTTAAATGAGATAATGTGTATTTTAATGATAATTATTAAATTGTCATTCTCTAGAAAATCCTTCTTAAAAAAAAAAAATCACCTCTAGTCACGAACCAAATCCTTTTCTTACTCTTGTTTAACGAAAGTAGCCTCTTCGTGTGGTTAGGGTTTTCTCCATAATTTATTATTGGGCATGTTATTAGTAATGACTTTTTCCAAATTTTGCTGGATTTCGTAATTCTAAAAGGTACAGTATTGACTCAAGTGATTCATATAAATTTAATGATTTTTTTCATGATGTTAGATCTACACATTATATGAATCATTGATACCTTGGGGTGGATTAACTGTTACAGTATCCATACATATATTGCAGGGTTTCAGTAAGCTGCTAAACATTTATATATTTTCAAAATACAGTATACATCTCATTTATTAACTGTTTAGTGTTCATGTGTGGCCAATGTTTCGAAAAGTCATGAAGCAGGTGAATGAAAAGAAACTACCTGTACTTCATTTTTATATACCAAAGCTCAGTCTATTTTTGCATCCCCAGTCTAGGTCCCCCAAAAAAAAAAATGCTGATCTTATATATTAATCAAACAATATTAAAACCCATAAAACATAAAAAACATTGGTTTGCCACTACAGTAACTTTTAAGTTTCCTTAACGGTATGGTAGTTTGGGCCACTATATCTTCCTGTGCTGAAAGATTGCTTAAAATACTGAAGAATTTATTATTAATAATTTCCATCAAATTGTGTTTATTTCTTTTCATTTTGCTGCACATTTATTTTTATGGTTACCAGAGGCACAGATATCACTCTAGATGCTGCCAGATATGCATTGTGATAAATGTTCTTCCACCATGAATTTGTAAGGTAACTGAGCAGTTGTGAAACTTTTGAGGGTGAATTATTATTGCTGATAACATATGGCATATTATATGGCTCATGGTTGTTCTAAGACTCATGAAACGAGGCAAAAAGCATAAGCCCATGTTTTGTTTGTTTGTAGGGCTGAAAATGTAAATAAAAACTACAAACTGCAGCACTTAAAAGTATATCTCCTTCAAAGATACATCATGATCTGGTAAAAGCAAAATAACCATTTTACAATGTACATATACTGAAGTCAAAATTTGGAGTTGGATTAGATCATATCCTTAAATATGCAAATACAGAGTAAGTTCTAGTGGACAACCAGTGACTCTTGCCTAATCAGCTTCAGTGCCCCTGGATACAGTACTTGGATATTTTTCTTTGATAAGGTATGGTTAGGATATTCTTGTAATATAACCATATAGTACTTGCAAAATTTTAGCATCCTTCAATATATAACTACAACACTGTTCGGTAATGCACTATAAAATTAAGATAAATACTTATAAAGCAATATTACCAATCTTATTCACTGTATGGTATCAATAATGTGATGATGGCATGAGCTGCTCTAGCAAATATGAAATCATTTACAAATCAAAATGTGACCCTGATGGTTATCACAATTTTCTTTCTTCTGATGTAGTTAGTGCAATATAAAATTTAATTGTATTTTTAATGCATGTACAGTAAAAAGTTGTTAGGAGTAAAACTGGCAAGGGACCATAGTTGATAAATTTTGCTTTTAGTGTTTTATTTTATTTTATTTTTTTAATAACTTATCATAGGTTGCAGTTACAGGTACTATGGTCACTTATGAATACAACTTCGGATAATGTACGCTCAAACCTATTTATTCATCACTTCAATGAATAGTGCATTTCTTCTTAAAGTTTATGAGACTCTCTTAAATCTAGACATGTGATTTTTTGTTGTAAGACAATCAAAGTTAAATATACCCAAGAGACTATTATTTATTTATATACCTACTGTATATATATATACAGTATATACTGTATATATATATATATATATATATATATATATTATATTATATATATATATATATATATATATATATATATATATATATATATATATATATATATATATATATATATATATATATATATATATATAATATATATATATATATATATATATATATATATATATATATATATATATAATATATATATATATATATATATATATATATATATATATATATATATATATATATATATATATATATATATATATATATATATATATATATATATATATATATATAATATATATATATATATATAAAACAGTAATCCTTTTACACATACTTTTTAGAAGTGCACTGAATAAATGGACTGGGAGGCGAAGGGAGAGTAATGTGATTTTAGCAGCAAACTACAGTCGTGAATCACCAAGGGATTTTCCTAGGCATCATATTTATAACGATATTCAAATATCTGATGTCAAGTATCATAAAGAAATTTTAAGTGAACTCATGGTCTTATGAAATAATAAATTTTGGATAAACTGGTTATTTGGCGCTGTCTCCCATACCCGGGGCAAGTGTTCCCCCCCCCCCCCTCACTATGCCACTGCTACCAATGCTTTACCCCGTGTTGCAGCAGTTATACCCTTTCCATGCTAACCTGGCCCATAAGTCACGCCCCTCGTCTATAGCTACAAATAGCTGATTGGTTCCCCTGAGCATTTTACCTCCTCCCGGACTGCACATATATAAGCACCTATTTAAATTGACCTTTTATGATAAATATTTAAAATTTTCTAACATCTGCTCTGAAGGGCTAATGCCTTGAAATAATTTGCATTTTGATAGTCCAGATATTAAACATAATTTTAGAGAATAACAAGTCTGCTTACCAATTGTAAACACATTTAGTTTGAATTTTCTATGAACCAATCAGCTATTAGTATAGAAGAGGGGCGTGGCTTACGGGCCAGGTTAGTGTGGAAATACTGTAGTCTTGCACCTTACTGAGGGTGAAAATACTAGTTTACCGATGTTAGGAGGTATGTGCATGCTTTATATTTTTTCAGATGAGGCTATATGAATGGGAAGATGTGCAAGACATAATACTATGGTCACCTGATACAAGGAATAAGAGAGTAAGACAGCAACACCATTTTTTGTTTTAACGTCATCATAGTTGCATTCCATCTTTTTTACATGCAGGACTTATAATTAAAAGGGATCACTGATTTTTTTATGACAGTATTTTTCATTGAGTATCCAGCACAAAAAAACAAAAATAACATAAATAAATAAATAAATATTCAAAATCTGGATCCTGATGTTATCTCAAATTATAGTCACCAATAATAATATAAAGGTTTAGTCCATTGTAATTAGTTTTTTGTTATGACTATATAAATTACCACATTTTTCTAAGTTGTACTAACTAAAGATTTAGGCATTGTTTTACCAGTTCTCAAACTGATCAACCCTTCGTTTTGTGTTTCCTTTGCGTACTTCCCGCAGTGTCTTGTACTTGGTATTACCTTGACGCATGTTCCTGTTGTAAATCTTGTCCAAGGTAGACATCACTGTCTTACGTGCAGGTGCCAAAGACATCTTTACTTCCTGTGTGCAACAGAATTAAAAGCACTAAGAATAAAAAACTGTGGTGTTCAGAAGTAATTGTTGTACAGTATTAAATTTTGTCACAATTTAAAGTAGTGTATCAGTTACCATAGTGCTTATGAATGTAACTGACATAGACATACATGATAAATCAATTTAATTTGTAATGTTAGGCAAAAGACATATGTCAATACTGTACATATGAAATAAATCTGAATTAATTGCATCCTTGGTTCATATTATACACTACCATGGAGATGATTATATAGTACTGAGGAAAGGACAACAATGAGTCAGAGCACCATATATGAGAGATATAAATGCCAAGGCAGTGTCATGGGTACTGCAATTCACAGAAGATAGTAATATTGGAAGAACTTTAAAAAATTCTGGGCAGATAAAAAAAAAAAGAGTTCTGGAGAGTGTGGTGCAGCAGTGTGATATGCACATTTTATTTGGTAACCACAGTGGGCTCATGTGACTTTGCGGTGGATCCAAGAAGTTGTGGGTGAGAGAACATGGCGAGCCCAGTGAGCCGACCGGGGTCTTATGAGGGGGCAATGTAAGCCCCCCCCACCCCCAAAAAAAAAAATATATACAGTATATATTTTTTAAATTTGATCAATATCATGGGCATTTTTAGGACATTTTGAGGCTATGTGCACTTGATATTAGGTGATATTCTAAGGTCAATAGTAATTACTTTTTACTATACAAAAATGCCTGAGTACAATACAGCATTAAAGAAAAAGTATTGGAATTTCCGATGAAAAGGGAGATTCCGGACCCCCCCGGATCTGCCCCTGTGAATTAGAGTGAAGGTAAATTTTAATGATGAGATTAACGCAATGAAAGCCGAGATAATTTTAGGATACGGGACATATGAGACGGAAATTACAGTACTTTAAAGTTTTCTAATGTGCTACAAGCTCGCCAAGCTATCATGCAGAATTAATAAATATAAGGAAACACTTTTTCATGCAGAGGGTGGTAGACCTACGGAATGGTCTACCAGCCCATGATGTGGAATCAAGGACAGTACTGGGCTTCAAAATAGCCCTTGACAAAATTATCAAGAACAATGGAGGAATCCTACGCAGGCCACTGGTCTCCTTCCCTCTGCATGGCTACCTCTAGTAGGTGGCCATTATGTAAATAAGGTAATATCCATCCTCTCACTTATTACACCCTTTACCCCATCATATCATTCCATCTCCTCTACCTCTACTCTACATCATATTGATAAGAATGGAATGGAACTGATTGACAGATATTTTTAGAGTTCTTACCTCTAGTAATTTCATCCTTTTAACATCAGCATTGTCTTGTTTTGGTTCATGTATTTCTGAGTCGAAACTGAGTGTATCCATGGTGTGGAAGGAAGCACTAGGGGTTGCACTTCTAGAAGTGTTGTTGCTGGACAAGCTCTTCCGTCTATCATCACCAAATATATCTCCATTATATGAACTTTGTTGTGGCATATCTTCCATTTTCCTGAAATCTCTATGGCTTCTTTCATCTTCATTCTCGGAGGATGAAGATGACTGCTTAGAAACTCTGCGTACTGTGGAAGCATTAAGAAGAGCCAATGTTGCCTCTTCCTCTTTACGCCTTGCTTCTTCCACCTCAGCCTGTAAAATGCAATACTGTACAGTGCATAGTCAAAACACAGTGTAAACTGAGCATTCATATCAAACTGGACATTTCCAAGCTACAGGTACATCCACACTGTGATTTGCCATACATCAACACTTCACAATGCTTTACAAGCTTTATACTTTGCCAACTACTACCCAATGTTCTCTCCTACGTTCAACATAGATAATATCACCTGCCAATCTCAACCATCCTCAACTTAACTTATATATACAGTACATAATAGGTAAATGGATCTATTTTTTTCTCAAGTACTGCTGTATGTTTTATGCAGTTCAGACATGTATACAATAATTTCCCCATTAACCAGAACAATTAATGGCGAGTGTTTCAAGGTTTGAGAGATTTCCGGGTATAGAGAAAAATTCTCTTAACCATGGCAAAAATCGCACAACTCTGGAACTTTTCTGGGAACTGGTGAATGTTTCCATGTCTAAACTATGCATCTGGTATGGAGCACTGTTGCTAAGCAGACTTACCTGCAGTCAGACAGACACAGAGCGGTATTTATTTATGCAAACCAAACTGGGGTCCAGTAGCGAACACATGTATCCCCAACCCCGAAAAACATGACCAAAATCTGGTTAGTGCAAGGGGAAAGTTCGTGTAAACAGGGGACACTGTGGTCGAAGAGGAAGGTAACTCAGCAGCCTCCTCTGAGTACAGTACTAAGCGTTTCTACCACTCTCCCATTACGTTAGACTACAGCCCCAAGTGAAAATATCTAAGGCTATAAAAAAAGTATAAATTTTTATCCACAGCATCTGTTCTAATTGCATTCGAAAGATGAATTTGGTACCATAATAATCCTGAATAAATTATCTACAAGACTGTTTCAATAAAATATCCTTACACAATATACAGTATTTTGACACAATATAATGATGGGGACTCAATTCTTTTATGAGAAAAAAGTTAGAAATGTTTATACTGTACTGGAGTCTATAAAATCAGTTCTAATTAAATTCTAAGCACATTATCTTAAAAGCAAAAAATCTATATGATATGGGCCATCAAATGTGGGTATTTTGGGGGCACGAGGCTGGGATGGAGCCGAGTGTCACAGTTGAGACGGTATACACTGCTCCCAGATGTATGAATGCAACACGATCCACTTGGTGACAGTTACTCGCTGAATACAGTTAAACTGCCGAGTGTGTACGAAAGACCAAGGAAAAATAAATAAAAAATCCCCACACATGCTAAAACCCTAAACATCTAAGAAAAAATAAATACAGGGGTGCATAAAAAAATAAATACAAAAAAGTTCATATGGAGTACAGAAATGTCGAGTAGCAATTATTAATATCCTTTTCAAATGATTGGCAAATGTTGTTTTAATAAAATAAAATTATCAGCATGTTGATGTGATGTGGACTGGGCTGGCGACCACTGGTCCATGCCTCGTTGCTCCACAACAAAAAATGATCCTCATGATAAAGATTTTTTTTTAATAATTTTTTCCAAGATTTGTGTCACATCACAGTAGTAGCTAATCATATCTCAAGAGAACTCTGAGTCAACCCATTACTGCAATCGGCACATGATGCAATTGCTCGGAAATTCATTCGAATGCCTGGAACAGAGATTTTTCTCGAATTTCTCAGAATGCTAAAAAAAAATTTTCCGAGTAATGGAAAGTTATGTTGATCAAAGATTGTGGCTAACTGGGAAATTACTGTATACATGTATTCTACTGCTGCTATTTTCTATGTTTAAAACCTAATGGTTCAACAAGATGTGCTAGTGCGCTCATTACAACTAAATCGCTGCAAATTATTATCTAGCACCAAACCTTTCATTTTAAGAATACTGTACTGTTTTTTCAACAGCAACTGATGCTTGCAATGCTGTATCTTATCCATCTTCTACTTCTCATGAATCGTTAAACCTCTGATATTTTAAACATATTGGAAGATTTTGTTTTTTTGCATAATTGTATTCTAATTACGTATGCTAAAAAACACGACAATTAAAGTAAAATAAGTAAAATACTGTATACCTGAAGTCTTCTTGTTTCTTCATCTTTAAGATTGACCTTTTCTTGAACACGTTGAACCTCGTCCTGCTTGGCAAGTATTTCTTCCTCAAGCCTTGCCTTTTCGCCTGCTTCCATATTCTTGACCTCTTCTAAACGCACCATCATTGTTTGCAGCTCCATTTGTTTTTCCTCCAACTGTGACTTGGCAGCTTGTAACTCTCTAAGCTGAGTTTCTAAGTGATGGATTGTGGCTTGAGCTTCAATCAATTCTGCTTGGCGATTTTCCATGTCTTTACGCATCTCCTCAAGACGTTCTACATATTCGCTCTGCCTCTTTTCTGCCTCTTCTCGTAAGGAAACCTCACGAGCAAGCTTTTTTCTATTGAAAATTAATATAACATTGTTAACATAACAACACACATAAATTCCATAAGCTGCTGCCATAATTTTATATCTTCTCTTTCTTCAGTAATCTTTACCTTTCTTGAATATATATGTCCCAATTTAATAAATTGTGAAAGCATTTAAGTTTATGAGGTTACATTTTGCTGTCACTAATCTTAATGAAAATGTAAATACTTATACTCATTAATAAGTGATAAATGTTGTACAGTATTGTTAAATTATTTTTTCCTTTTATAAATTTATAGCTGAGAGGAATTTTTTTAAATACAGGATGTGAATAAGCTCCAATTCCATAAAAAGTTAAATACCAATAAGAGTACAGTATTGTATTCCCTATACTAATATACTTCATAAGTATTATTTACATGTAATGGTATCTTCTACCTTACATGACTCTAATACAAATGGTTTCATAAACCTATACAGTATTGCAAACAAACCTAAAACTCTCCGCCCGGGCTAGGGTGCCACTGGCCGTATTCCCCACGCAGCGTAAATCGAGAAAAATCAACCTTTCCAAATTGTTTTTTAACATTTTTAATTGATAAAACAATAAAAAAAATGGCTTTATTACACTTGAGGCCAATTTGGTCATGGTATATATGCCCAGTGAGCCAGGCAAATGAAAAAATATGCAGACTATTTAATACTCTAACTTTCTTGATTATTACTTTAAGTTACAATATATACACTGGACTGTATTACATTGACCATAATGTCTTCAAATATCTTTTTTATTAGTACTTATGTGTATTAATTCTTAAATATAATAAAATCATTGCAAGTACTTTAGTTCTTTAACTCCTAAAAATCTTTCCATGTTGTTCTGAGCAAATGCTTAGTCTGAACACTACAAATTATACTAAAACAATTAATAAAAAAAAATTAATATGATGCACTTACGCTGAAAGTCTCTTGGCATCTCTTTCTTCACGAGCCTGAATCTTCATCTGCTGAACATCAATTGAGTCAGCCTTACGACGACGAACATACAGGTCATGGTTACCCATACATAGCTGCAGAATGGTCTTGTTCACTTTCACATGGGATGCCACAAAAATAAAATCTGGGGACTTCTTGTCTATGGGCTTAATGACAAATTTTTGGTTATGGAAGGTGATGTTGCGGATCTCAGACCAAGGAAACCCAATCTTCGGGGTCAATCTGAAAAAATAAATTATTAGATATGTTTATTATGGATTAGAATTAAAGGAGCAACAAGTGGGTATAAATGCACCATGACTTTAGATGAGGGAGGATGAAGGAGAGGTTTTGGAAAGATCTAATTAACTGTATTAAAAGCTTAATTGTGTGGGATAGTGTGAGAGTTCTAATTACAAGAGTTATTAATAGGGAAGTGAATGGAATTATGGAGACTTGTGGAAAGACAGGAATGAATGGAAATGGAGGGACTGACACAAACAAATGCTAAGAAAGGGGTGACAGTGGAGAGCACTGTACAGTACATGGTTCAAAAGTAAGAAATTCTTAATTACAATTGGTGGACAGATGAATGAAATTCAAATTCATTGATGAGGAAGAACAAAGAGGAGCAGCACATGGGGCATTTAACCATTACTTGGAGGAGGCAAGAACAATAGTTAATGGAAGGTTTGGAAGACAGACTTAAAGCTTTTAAGTAGGTAGGTGGTCATGAAATCTGATGGGCAGAGAAGAGTTTAAGGAAGACTTCCATCGACTTCCAGAGTGTTGACCCTTTGCATGTTAAAGCATTCACATGAGTAATTTTCATGCCTGTTTCTTACATGGTAAGCCTGCATTTGAGTTTTCCTAATTCTCATTGTAAGGGCGGTAACGAGCGAGATGGTTGTCCGCCGCTCGTTTGCTTGTTCGTGGCCCCACTAGGGGGGGTAGACGGAGGTGAGAAGGTCGCTGCTGCTTCGTGACACATCAGACACTACCCAGCCAGCACCACAGCTGCACTTCCCCCACTGTTCGACTACAATTCTGGTTGTGTGCTCATCTGAGGCTCCTGGGGCTAGTGGGTTGATTCCCCAGTCCTTCATTATTCGGCTGTCAATATCAGGACACCTACTCCAGCTACTACCGCGGCTGCCACGTCATTGCCACTTCCTCAACCGCCCTATCCACCGTCCGTGCCCTGGCGTCTCTCCTTTGTGGCAAGACATCACCCTCCAACGCCAGCGCCAAGTGAGGAAGCTGCTCTGGACCTTCCCCCTAAGAGCGGACCACCGCGTTAACGGAACATTCCACCGGGCTGCCACCGAAGGAAATATCTGTACATTGTTTGACTCCCGTAATTGTTTGACTCCCGTAATTGTTTGACTCCCGTAATTGTTTGACTCCCGTAATTGTTTGACTCCCGTAATTGTTTGACTTCCATAAATGATTATTTTCGTAGTAAAGAGCTGTCAATCTCTAACGGTTGTTTGTTACCCCTTGGAAACCCATAGTTCTAGACTTTCTTTTTATAAGATCCTGATTAGGCTGGCAAGGGATTTATTTCCCAAAGTCCAGGCCTTTACACTCATCCTATTTTTTAAGAAACTGGTGGGAGGTGTGACTAGGTTGTGGCTGGGGAGGCGAGGCAGCGACATAGTTATAGCCAAGGCCTTGGCTATAACTGCCTCCACACACGTTCACTTCTCCCTCATACTCACCAATGCTCTTAATTTTTCTTGGTTTATATTATATTTTCTTTATTTCTAAGCCATATTAGAGTATTGTAATAATTTTTCAACAACTTTTATAGTTTCATTAAAAGTAACAATAAACGCGGCAGCTAGGCTGGCGAGTAAGCAAACTTAATTGTAGCTCACCACCTCTACACACATTCACTTCCCACACACACATACATACATACCTCTCAATCCCCGTAGGTGCCGGATAACTGGGATTCTAATGTATATATTTTTTAACTGCTATAATTAATGGTTAATAGAATGAAAAAAAATAAAGCTGACTCTCCCTACAGTCATTATTTTTCAACTGTTGCACCAAATTTATCATACAGTATTGAAGAGATATATAAATATTTAAAAACTTACTTGTCCTCTCTTTCAAAGACATTGATCCCAAGTGCATCAATACCGAGGGTAAGCGGTGTGCCCTTCTTATTCGCAATATCAAAGTAGTTGACACCATACATCTCTGTGTCCTGAGCCAGCTTCATGTACTCCATCATGGCATCATCTCTGAAAGTTATAAAAATATAGTACAGTAGTTAGTTGACAGAGAGGTACAGTGAACAACACACATGGTGGTGGCAGGACACAGACTGAGCGGATATAAACAAACCTTATGTGCCAAGCGGCACATTTGGTGCGGAATTTAATGGAATCCGCTCGATTTAGTGAACTGGTTCAGGTGAGAAGGTTGGGTCATTTTACCCTATGACCTGACTACGGACAGCCGCTATGTTTAGAGATGGTATGGTCAATTTCTTTGGATTAAGAAGATTAGTAAGGGTCACTGCCTTATGAGCGGAACATTGTGGACCCCTGCTGTCCCCTAGGGACTTGATCTCACTCTCCTCTACTGTATATATTAGCCTTGTCAAGTATTTCTCCTTAGTCTGTACTTACCCCTGAATATGTGAATTACACGAAAGCGCTTGGGAACTTCGTGTTTCCTTGCCACTGCACCTGTGATGGAGCCCTTCAGTGAGCTCCTCAATAAGTCTGTGGGCAAGCGGTTGTATTGGGACGACCAGCTGCGGCTCAAGTTTCGGCAGGCCCAAGTCACCATCTGTCAGTTGGCAAGGGACAGCTTGGTGTACTACGACAAATCCAGGCCTATGGCAGCTGTCACGGATTGGAGCAGGGAGGGCATCAGCTTTGTCGTCCTGCAGCAATACTGTGCCTGTACCTCGCCAGAGACGCCCTTGTGCTGCAGGGGAGGGTGGCGGTTGGCTCTGTGTGGTAGCCGACATCTGAGCATGGCCGAGGCCGGCTACGCTGCAGTAGAAGGGGAGGCCCTGGCAGTGGTATGGTGCCTGCGCAAGGCCAGGCTGTTCCACCTTGGCTGCCCAAACCTCATTCTGGTGACGGACCACCGCCCCTTAGTTGGCTTGCTAGGGGCCCCTCATGGATGTGGTGAATCCGCACCTGTTCAGGCTCAATGAGAAGACCCTGCAGTTCTGGTTCATGGTCAAGTACTTGCCAGGGAAGCGGAATTGTGCAGCTGACGCCCTATCTCGCTTCCCCTCCCTCAGGGCGCTCCCGACACGGAGGACATGGACGAAGAGGAGGACCTGTGCGCTGCAGTGTGTGCAGTCAAAATCGCAGCACTGGATCAGGATGGATGCATCACTATGGACGAAGACACCGTGAGCAAAGTGGCTGCAGACGACCAAGTGTACCAGGTTGGCTGGAGATCGCCCATTTCCCCAACGAAACCACCTCTGGCAAGATCATCGCCGTTCTGCGGGGTTACTTCACGAGGTGGGGAACACCTGAGCAGATCCCCACGGATGGAGATACCAACCTTGCCAGCGGTAAGATGACAGATTTCCTCAAGTCATGGGGGGTCGAGGCACGGCTCTTGTCGGCCCACTTCCCCCAGTCCAATGGCAGGGCAGAGGCTGGGGTCAAGGCCACCAAGAGACTCCTCTGGGATAACACTGGGCCCGGGGGTAGCCTGGACTGCGATAGGACATCCCAGGCCCTCCTCCAGTACCTGAACACGCCTCTCCGGGGGGTGAACAAGTCGTCCGCCCAACTTGCCACTGGCCGCCAGCTCCGTGACGGAGTTCCTGTGGCCAGACAGCACTATAAGGTGGACCAGCACTGGCGGCGGGCGCTTCGTATGAGGGAGGTGCACTTGGCCGAAGTCCAGGACGGAATCCTTCTGTCGCGGGGGGAGGTGTCCCGCCAGCTAGCTCCCCTAGCTGTGGGCACGCAGATGTGTGTGCAGGACCTCTGCTACCAAGCTCTGGGACAGAACGGGCATAGTGGTGGAAGCCCGCCCTCACAGGCAGTACGCCATCAGGTTGACTGGCAGTGGCAGGGTGTCCATCCACAACAGACGCCAGCTGCAATGCTGTGCCACCCCTGTGCCTAACACTCCTGTGGTGCACCATGCTATGCCTCCTGGGCCCCCTTCTGCAGTGCCCTCCGTACCCGCGTCCTCGCTCGCACCTCCGGCCCCTTCCCAGTCGGGCGTGGCCAGGCCCGGGAGAGGTCGCAGGCACCTGGGTTGGTTGGCTGACTAGTATGTGGTGTAGAGTATGTTGTGTAAAATTAGGTTTGATTTTTTTTCTGTTTGTTTGTTTTTTCTTGCATTATTGTTTTTTATCACTACATTGTTTTCCTTTCGTTAGTTCAAATGTGCATTGTCATTTCCTTTTAACTTGGGGGGAAGATGTGAGATTGTGAGATGGAGTATCAACGTACGATATGTTTTCCCAGTGTGTGCATTCTAAGAAAACCCATCTTTGCATCTAAAAAATTTACTTTCTCCACATTCTTATCATCCACACTTGTTCCGTAAAATTTAGGGGAAGTTATATTTAATATAACTTCCCCTCATTTTTATAATTTAAATCCATTACAACTAGATCCAAATCCCTAGTTACGTAGGTTAGATTGGGGCTTAATAAGATTTAAACCTATTTGATTCACCAGTGCATATCAACTTAAAAGATCTCCTTATAAAGACTTTTGGTTTTGCCCAATACATTACCTCATCATACCACTGTGTTCCTTGTACCAGGTTGTAATCTTCTCTTCCCAAGCATCACGCATCAACTTGAACTGATCCATCACTCGCTGAGGCAGAAGACGATCATTGGCCAAGAAGCCTTTCTTGTGATATTCAGCTACATAATCCCCATACTTGGCTTGTACAGCATAGGAGGACAAAAGCACAGCAGCATCAGGTGGGCAGTAGATTTCATCACTCAGGATAGCATTTTTCACTTGCAAGTAGAACATTCGCTGAAAGCCATAATAATGTTTTGTTGATATCAAATTTTAAAGTAGAAACTTAGAGTACAGTATTAAAACAATTCTTCATTTGGTTTCTTACTTCTTAATGATATTTAATTTCGCTAAACACTCAGGATGACATATTTTGACTTGCAACTAAAAGTTACTAAAACCCACTGCTAAGTCAATGGTTTTAAAATTATTATACTATGACCCACAACGGGGCCTAGAGTGCAAAAAAATAAGAGTAAAAAATTCTTGCTTCTCACTACCACATCCCAGGCTCAATCCACGGTTCAGATGTGAAAGGGTGTAATCCCATGTGACCCTACCAAACATTGCAGGTTTTCTCTGGACACTCAAATTTTCTCCTGTACCAACAATAGACCCATGGAGTACAAACACAACTGGCATGATGGAGGATGAAACAAGCCACCTTATTCCCTTGCTTGTCAAATGGGTAAGTGATTAATGAAAAAAGTACAATGTACAAATAATTCTTCTCTTAGTTTCTATCACTTACTAATACATATTTATTTTCTTTGAACATAATCATTCCAGTGCTACAGGTCTACAACATAAATTCAAACTTGTGCAATTAACATTTGTTTCCTAAAGAAGCTGATACATTGTCAAGAGCTTTAAGTCCACCACAACAATGGTCATCTTTGTCCAGTCACCTTGCACACCACTCATCATGTGCAGTCACAATATATATTCAACTATCATTTCATGCTGGTTAGGCTCACCTTTCTATAGTTATTCATGGACAGGTGAGCCTAACCAGCATAATATGTTAAGTACAATACTTGAGAGCATTACAAGAGATGCCATGATGGAACATCTACTTCGAAACAACCTTGTAAAGGATTGCCAACACGGTTTTACGCCAGGGCACTCTTGCTTAACACAATTACTTAAGGTACTGGATATTTGAACCTAAATTCTGGAACAGGGTGGTAATATCGACGATATTTACCTAACGTTGGTCATTAATAATTTACAGCCGCCATTCTTCCTAATCAGGGCCGTTCCTAGGAAAGTGCGGGGCCCGGGGCAACTCAGCCACTGCGGGGCCCCAGAAAATATATATATGGAGTCAGATTATGCAGTCAGAAGAACCCACCCCCACCAACCCCCATGGGACTGTCACTATGGATGGTAAGGTCACGGTTGCGATGGTGGCGTAAGCTGTCAGGTCAGATTAACCAGTCAACAGGTAATGTGTCCGAGGTCACTGGGTCTAGTGCTGGGCCCCCACACGCGCGGGGCCCCGGGCGATCGCCCCTGTTCGCCCCCCCCCCTAAAGGACGGGCCTGTTCCTAATGCCCATTATAATAAAACTAAAGAAATTTAAGTTTTAGCATTAAATTAATCTAATTATTGGAAAGTCTGTAAAGGACACAAAAATCAATTTACTTCTCACCAATGTGACCTCCTGGATGATTTCCTCACTGACATCCTCAGGATAAAACTTGGCACGAAATTTGAACTGCAAAGGTGATTCATGTTTGTTACCAACTTGTTTTAAAACCTGCAATGAAAAAAGTACAAATTCAAAATCAATACAATGTACTATACGAAGTTCTGTAAAGTAGATGTTATTACTACAGTATACTGTACTTAAACAAGTAAGGTCTTTAAGCTTATAACAAGGTTAGCACTGTACAGTACTCACTTATCAGGGAACAACGGGAAAGCTCAGTGTTTGTCGGAGATAAAGACATATAAGGCAGGACCGGTATAATAAAGGAACCACAACTAAAAAGTGGATATTTGAGCAAAAGGACAACAGATTCAGACAAGATCACTGTGAGGTAATTCAAGGGATGGTGGGAGCAAGATGGACCTCCTGCCTGGTCCGAGAATAAGGAAATATAGTTTCGGTTTTGAGGAGGTTTTACATATCTTCCAGGAAAAAAAAAATATGTATTGTACTTTTGTGTTGAGCTTCTGTTACTATAGAAGTATACATCAGGGAAAAAGAAACTAGTCGGCCAGCCAAGGAAATGTGTGTATTGCAGTGACATTGTTCAGATTTTAATGGCTCTGTGTTCATGATCGGCTATTCCATAGTTTTGAGGAAATAAAATGTAGGAGCTGAGGTTTTTTATATTGTGTGGTTCCATTACACAGTAGAAGTGTAAATTTAGCTGTGGCGACCAGTTAATACAACGTAATCATAAGAAAAACAAAAGCAAAAAGGAAGTCAGGGGCGAACTTATTTTGCCACCAACTCCAAGATTAGGTGCCAGTACTTTACCAAGGCCAAGGGGTTCATCTACCAGTTAGTCGTGTTACAGCCGCGTTTTTTAACTGGTTCCTCAAGCAATACTACTTACCCCCAGAAACACAAGACAGCAGTAGATCAGAAATTAATAATATAATTCAAACTAAATTAGGCTGTATGTAAGGCTCTCTCTCATATTTCCAAACACTACGTACTATGAATTGTATATAACTGATAAGCGGTGAAATTAGAATTAAAAAAATAATCCGAGATTTCAGCAAGTCACTGTTCAGAATGAGTTAACGTGACTGACTCCAAGTTATGAACTTCTTTCTCCGTGTGACAGCCGTAACACTCCAGTGAGAGAGAAAATGTTTGAGGATTATGAAATAAAACTTTTTACTTTACTTTTATCCTCTTCACCACTAATCGGCTCGTTAGTCGCTCGGGCGATCGGTCACGTCTCTGTTACGAACTGTTGGCAAGTACTGGGCATGCACTGCCTCCTGAACGTATCCGAACCTACTCCAGTGCTGGTCAAGTCTGGTCTTGAAACAGCTCACACTCGGTGTCGTCACAACACCCTCTAGCAGGTTGTTCCACGAGTTCACAATTCTCACTCCAAAAAAGTTTGCCCTCATATAGTTTTCTGGACTTGAGGCTTCTTCAACCTTGAACTGTGACCCCTTGTGGGGCGAGCGTCCGCCAGCTCAAGGTATGCGGGCACCCGACTGAGTAGTGCCCTTTGAGATGTTTTTACACGTCAATTAGGTCTCCCCTTGCCCGTCTGAAGTATAAGCTAAGCAAGTACAAGCGCTGTAATCTCTCTGGGTAGCTGAGGTGCAGGCATCAGTCTGGTGTACCCTCCTTTGGACATTTTCAACCAACTGACATTTCCTAGCATATCTCGGGCACCAGTACTCCAGGCGGGGAACACCTCGCTCCTGAAGATCGTTACGAGGGACGAACCGTCTAGATATCTGAACGACTTTCTTATAAGACCTAATAATTTAGTTGTTTGGTTCACCTTCTTCTCACAATGGCCCGAGAACTTCAGTTCATTGTCTAAATACACACCTAGGTTCTTTTCACATTCAGTCTCAATTAATGCAGTTTCTACGTCCCACTGGGGAATATAATACACCTCCTTACCGTTGGTACGTCCCAGGTGCATCCTGTTACACTTCGTGACATTAAATCTTAGCAGCCACTTCTTTGACCATTCTTGAAGCTAACAGAGATCCTTCCGCAGGTCTTCACAGTCTGCTTGGTTCTAAATTTCCCGAAATAACTTGGCATCGCCCGCAAACATTTGTATGGAGGAATGTACTGATTTTGGCATGTCATTTATGAAGCAAACAAACAACAAAGGGCCCAATACACTGCCCTGTGGTACCCCGCTTGCCACGGGTACACATAACGATTTCGTGCCATTCATCACCACACACTGCTTGCGATCATAGAGAAAGTTTCCGATCCACGCTAGGACACTTCTCCGAATCTACTACCCTTTCCAATTTAATTTTCAGCCTTTCATGAAGTACTCTGTCGAAAGCCTTGGCAAAATCTAGCATCAATGATAATTGTTTTATATTCAAACGACTGATCTTGAGTGATATTACATCATCGTTTCTATGTTTATACTATTTGAATTACAGCAATTGACGAATTTACTGTTCTGAGATGACACTAACGGAAGTGGTACAAAAGCAACAATGAAGTAGAAGCACCGTTTTACTACATATTGTGTAAGCAGTGATAAACTTGACACCCACCAGTAAAGGGGTACAGCGTTAGTGGGTCATAATACTGTTATCTGGCACGGCTGTGGTGACAGCACCGCCCCACACACTACACCTCTACACCTCGCAAGTTGTAACACCACTTCATACATGACGACACCTGTCTTCACACCTTTACACTCAGCAAGGTGTCCCACACATGATAACATCTATACCTATATCTATGGTGTAATGAACACATTTAGTATTTCCAAACACTCGTCCTTCTATAGATGCTGAAGAAATTAATTATACAGACATAGGAAATTATCACAATGAAGGAAGTCTCATCTGATGGAAGGAACTACTGTAAAGTGAAAATCACGCCCTAACATTTTATCGTCGTACCATAAATAAGTGACGAGTGTGTTTTAACTGTTTCTTCTGCTTCTTAGTAAGGGTGGCTGATCCTGCCTAGTAATCCAACTGTCTGTTGAAGACCAGCCAAGTGGTGAAGCCCTCCTTTAATGACTCACCTTTTTAGTGAGGACCAGCCAGGCGGTGAAGCCCTTGGCGTCGACAAACTGGAGGCCGAAGTACCAGACCTCACGAAGGCCGATGGTCCGAACCACCTGGTCGAAGAGTTGTTTACCTGTTGTCGACTGCTTAATGGCAAACTCCAGCTCCGCGTCCATGGTGGTGATCCTTACGCTCGTCTGGGGAGAGACAGGGGAGTGAGAGTCATCTGGGGAGACAGGGGAGTGAGAGTCATCTGGAGAGACAGGGGAGTGAGTCATCTGGGGAGACAAGGGAGTGAGAGTCATCTGGGGAGACAGGGGAGTGAGAGTCATCTGGGGAGACAGGGGAGTGAGAGTCATCTGGGGAGAGACAGGGGAGTGAGAGTCATCTGGGGAGAAAGGCAAAGAAATACAAAACATAAAACCCACATAGAAGGAGACACGAACACCCATTGAGTAAATAAGTGTGCTGTATGGTAATGGTGAGCTCAGTATTTCATTAATCATCGCTACACTCTCTCAAAATAGTTATTTTTTTGCTTGGCCTTAATCTAGCATTCCCATTCCATCAATTGTTTTCGCATTAAGACTAAACTACTTCTTATAGAGGTTATTGGACCCGGAGGAGAGTGCTTTCCCGACAATATGTACTAAATTCCAGAAGTTTATCCATTCACAAAATGCCTGTACCAAGATAAAGATTTTATCAGAACTGGACATTAGACAAGATGAAAATTTCGATGTTGTTATGTATGTATGTATGTATGTATGTATTTATGTATGAGTGCGTGTGTACATTCACGTACAAACAATGTATACATACCAAGCCAGATAGGGACATTATCTTAATCCAGGTTAATGTCACCTTGTACCTGGCCCAGAACTACCTCGCTTATTGTAGAATAAACCTAACCCATACTGATCTCTGGTGTCCTCTCTGACCAGCCGATAAACTTTAAAATAACTCCCATATTTACTGTATATACATTCCATTAGTTCTATTGATCTGTATAGTTAACCAGAGTACCGTCCTCACATCTGAGGGTTGGCGACTAAAGTCTCCCTCTCTAAACGTTCTCGGGTTGTTTTTATCAATCCTCCAAATCGGTATAATACTGTGTACATTATTTGGATCGCTTGAAGAATAGACACCCCAGTTTATTTCACCTAATAAAACTCCAAACGTTAGCAATAGGGGAGTTAGTTAGATTAACATTACGGTGTTTAATCATAAAGTGAAGTAAGATAGGGTGTCTAATCTTCAGGTGATCCCATTTCTCATTTCTGCTGCTCAGCGTGTGATCAGGACACGTGTTTACACCACACATACACACGGGGTGGATCACGTACTGTACATATTACGGCACTAGGTACTGCCGTTCTCTCGTCCATCCAGGTTAAGGGAACAACTTCAATACATCCCCCGTGTAGTCGCTCTTCACAACTCTGTTTTACCAGCGGTGTCCTAAATAACAACATTCATTCATGTCTTTCTTAATATTCAAAGTCAAGTAATATTTTTTGTTGTTTTGAGTATGAGGACTGAGGCAGTCGCCTCCATCCCCATTCCTGTCATCCTTTACCATTCCGCTACCTTCCAACTGCAACTTGTTGTTACCTTTCACAGTCTGCTGCCACCCTCCACCACCACCACCCTGCTGCCACCCTCCACCACCACCACCCTGCTGCCACCTTCCACCACCACCCTGCTGCCATCCACTACCACCACCCTGCTGCCATCCACTACCACCACCACCCTGCTGCCATCCTCCACCACCACCCTGCTGGCACCCTCCACCACCACCACCACCACCCTGCTGCCACCCTCCACCTTCACCAACCTGATAAACAGAGTAAGATTATTACATTCTCAGCTGATTACTTCATCACAGCATAGTCGTCGTTTCCTCGAATGCCTTGATTGAGGTGGGCGTCAAACTACGCCCTGCAGTACATATAATGACTGATAGCGACGAAATCCCCGTGTAACCGATAAGGTGATAAGAGTGAGGCAGATGTGGGGGTCCTCAAGCCGTCTCCCTCATGATCTCTAGCTCACCCCAACGACTTAGACAAATATTTTCATCGAACATTAAAGAATTCTACAGCGAAAATCCTTTAATATTAAAAAGAATAAGATACTGTTATCTTTCTCCTGTTTGTTTTCCACCGTATGTTTCCAGACAAGCTCTCGACACCGCCTCAAACCAGCTTTCGGTAATTGTTGTAAGTATCGTGAGTCTTTCCCGTTTATTGCGGCGAGGTTTGGCAAAATAATCTATCTGGGTTTCCATAAATACGCAAGTCTTTACAATTCATTTCTTATGCGTATAGCTTAGACAAGTCTTTACCACAGTTGTCCTTTAATTCTTAACATAAGATTAATCTTTTACATCAGTTCATCTTTCGACCAGAATAAAGTTAATAATTCATGCAATGTTCACTCTATCGATGGCAATTCACATAAAGCGTCATTTTAACATTTATATGCTCTCCCAGGTGTCTGAGGTTAAAAAAATAATGATTATATGGTATACTTTGAGTTCAGTATTAGGTTAAATTAGATAAAATTACGTCAGGATTAAGTTCTTCAAATTTTAATAGCGAGTACAGTACAGTACAGTACAGTACCTACTTCATGAGGCCACATCTGACTGGTCCTCACACCACTTCGAAGGTACAATGTTTACTTTGGTTACTCAGATGATAAAAGGATACTAAATGATATTCCAGAGAGTGTTCATTATAAGAACTCGCTAAGGAGAACAAGCTCAACGTCAGAGATCAATCTGTATTGAGATTTTAGTAAAAATGGTCATAAGGCCATAGTATGGATTTAATAATAATGTAAAGAATTACTTTTACTTTATTTTTATCCTCTTCGCCACTGATCGGATCGTTAGCCGCTTGGGCGGTCGGTCTCGTCTCTGTTACGCACTGTTGGCAAGTACTGGGCATGAACTGGCTCTTTAATGTATCTGAACCTGCTCCAGTGTTAGTCAAGTCTGGTCTTCAAAGAGCTCACACTCGGTGCCGTCACAACAATCTGCCAGAGAGTGTTGTGACGGCACCGAGTGTGAGCTCTTTCAAGGCCAGACTGAAGCAGGTTCAGATACATTCAGGAACCAGTTCATGCCCAGTACTTGCCAACAGTGCGTAACAGAGACGTGACCGACCGCCCAAGCGACTAACGAACCGAGTAGTGGCGAAGAGGATAAAAGTAAAAGTGAAAGTATCTCAAAAAAGTATGTGCCAGGATGGGTCAGATTACTTCCAAAATAATACCGTACACTCACGTAGCATCCTCCATATTTAAGTATTTTCTGGATCTCTTCCTCTCTTCCTCCGCCACACCGAAACAGATGTGGGTGATTCTCTCTATTTTGTTATTAACGGTGGAGAACTTCAGTCATTTCTTACTAATATCCTTTCTTACTTCAAATTAATGCCTCTTTATTATTGCCTCGAGCAACATACGCTCCTCTGGTCATGATAAAAACAATTTACAAAGGTTTATCCTACCATTACAGTACCCATTATCAGTCAAGTACTACAGATCACCCAAATACCACAACTGCTTTAACACTGACCTTGAGTGTGTAGCAGAGTGAGCGCAAATAACTTTGTTACATTCAATGTTACAAGAAAAAAAATCGTATTCCTGTCTCTTGCAAACAAGCACATTACCAGCCCACACTTTCATTTAGTAACACCCTCTCTATACCGGCCACTAATTGTCAACACATTTGTGACATTTGGTCTTGCAGTAGCTCAACCTCTCTTAGAGTCACAATACATCTACAACACTGACAAATCCATCCAAAAAATTAGGGTTCTTCTTCTGGGCTTTTTTTTCTATACTTTACCTCAACATCACTCCAGACCCTTTACAACTGCTACATCCGCCATCACAAGGAAATTAACAACCACAGTCCTATTTATCACTGTTAGACAAAATACAATCTAAAGTTTTAAGTCTCATCAACAACCAGTCCTCACTTCCTCTACAAGTTACACGTGTCTTCATTCTACCTTTTCTCAAGGATCACTTGGTACTTATGCAAATTTATGAAATCTAACCCATCATCCCATCACATTTCAATCCTCGTGGCAACACACATCATCCTTCATCGGGCCACCCATCCTCCACGCAAGTTCCCTTCAGTGAAATGTCATCCTCATCCTCCTTCTTAATTTCTCACTCTATTTAATAATGGAATTCCCTGCCAACTTATAAATTTCCATCCACTTTCGGTTTATAGCCCGGTAAACGTAAGGCAAATATGCATAGTATTTACACCTCTCTTACCCATGGTGTATTAGGCGTACATAACATGGATATGGATCATTTTGTAATAATGCCCATCACAATGTAATAAAGGAAACATATTAGTGACTGTGGCAGTGAACTGTACCAATAACCTGCGTCAGTGACCAGTATTGGTCGTTAATACTATTATCAGGGTGGTGTGACAACGATCCCATGAGCATACTTACAACAGATTGGTTCCATGGAATTGTTGGGGGATGGGGGTGGGAGCGGGTTGAAGGACCATATCTCGACCTACTGCTACTAAGTTACAGCAATTTTTATCCTTTTGTACTGGTGGAGACGTGTTGTAGTAACAATGCCATCTAATTCAAGAATTTTATATTTATATTATATTGCAACAAGACTTGTTAAACCTTAAAACAAGCATGACCCAAATTTATCCATCAATTGCATCAGCGGCGGTCGAGTGGATGCAGTGCTTGTCTTGGGAAAATGAGGACGTTCGAAAGCAGTATCAGCCATGCTGCCTCCTTGTGTTCCAAAGGCTTAGTATACAGTGTGCCTATGGGACCCACTTATTTCACATCACTCAGGATTTGTATTTATAAAGCTGACTGACTCATCTTTAAAATGCCTCTTAGATGGACATCTTCATAGTCCAGAAGGATTTAATCTTTACACATACATGTTTTCCACACAGTCACTCAAGGGTGTATAGCACCATCTTTCACTGACATTTTCGGGCCAACAGTGAGTAACGTGTAACTGTCATCGGTAAAATTATCTTATCTGTGGTGGTCGATGTCATCTAACTCCCACACTGACTCACACACAGTGTTGATTTTCTAGCCTGTTCTTGCCGCTGCCTCTCTTTCTTATGCCTTTTCTCCTTCTAGTTCTTCTCTTCCTTATTCACGTTCTCTCTTCTTTCTCCTTCTGGTCTGTCTTTTCTTACTCAAGCTACTCATCTTTTTCTTTCTAATGTTATCCTTCCATTCTCCCATTTCTCCTCCTCGTTGTATTTCTCCTCTTTCTTCTCCCCTTTTGCATTCACCTCCTTCTGATTCTCTTCCTCATACTTCTCTCTCGTCTTAGTTTTCTTCTTGTATTCTCTACTCTTTTTACTGTTTTTCTTTTTTTCGCCACTGATCGGCTCGTTACCTGCTTGAGCGGTCGGTCACGTCTGTTGGCATGCACTGGCTAAAGAATTTATCTGTGTACCTGTTCCAGTGTTAGTCAAGTTTGGTTTTGAATGAGCTCAAACTCGGTGCAGTAACAACACAATGGTAGATTGTTCCAAGAGTTTACAGTTCTCACTCCGAAAAAGTTTGCCCTGACAATTTTCCGAACTTATGGTTTCTTTAACCTTGAACTGTGACCCTTTTAGTCGGGCGGACATCCACCAGCTCCAGGTATGAACAATCGACTGAGTAATGCCCTCTGAGATATTTATACACTTCAAATAATTCACCTCTTGCCCGCCTATAGTATAAGCTAGGCAAATGCAGGCGTTCTAATCGCTCTGGGTACTTGAGGTGTCGTGGTGCAGGCACCAGTCTGGTGGCCCTCCTTTGGACATTTTCGCCCAACTAGCTACCTGTATAGCGTTTCTCGGGAACCAGACGGAGGACAGTACTCCAGACGGGGAAGCACCTCACGCTTGAAGATCGTTACGAGGGTCTAGATATCTGAACGACCTTCTTATAAGACCTACTAGTTTCGTTGCCTGATTCACCTTCTCACAATGGCCCGAGAACTTAAGTTCATTGTCAACTTACACACCCAGGTCCTTTTCACATTCGGCGTCTATTTAATGCAGTTTCTTCGTCCTGTTGAGATATGTGATATGCCTCCTTACTGTTGCTGCGATCTAGGTGTATCCACTAACACTTCGTGACATTGAATCTTAGTAGCCATTTCTTTGACCACTCTTGAAGCTCACAGAGATCTTTCTGTAGCTCTTCACTGTCTGTTTGGTTCTTAATTTCCCTGAATAACTTGACATTGGTCGAGTGTCCATACCTGGAGCTGGCGGACGCCCGCCCTACAAGGGGTCACAGCTCAAGGTTGAAGCCCAGAAAACTGTGAAACCAAACTTTTTCGGAGTGAGAATTGTGAACTCTTGGAACAATCTGCCAGAAAGTGTTGTGACGGCACCGAGTGTGAGCTCTTTCAAGACCAGACTTGACCAACACTGGAGCGGGTTCGGGTACATTCAGGAGCCGGTGCATGCCCAGTACTTTGCCAACAGTGCGCAACAGAGACGTGACCGATCGCCCGGGCGGCTAACGAGCCGATCAGTGGCGAAGAGGATAAAAGTAAAAGTAAGAACGACCAAGCAAGCAGCTAACGAGCTGATCAGTGGCGAAGAGAATAAAAGTAAAATTAAAGTTAAAGTCCAAGGGAGGCTTCAGGATGCTCACCGCTCTTATCCAGAAGCAACAAAAAGAGGTAAGAAAGTGACGGTTGATAAAAATGCCTACTAAGTATTAAGCTTCCCGTGAGCCGCTGAATACTGGAAGATGCTGGACTATCTCTGGGTTTTAAAGAGTTAAATACACATCAAGAGTGACAACGACTTATACACATATTAACCTGGGGAGTTTGGCAGAATTCCAGTCGTGTTACCACCGTATCCTGTCTTATGTATCATGGAAATAATTTAATTGCAGTACTATGTGAGAAATAAAGTTTAGCTAAAGAGCCTAACCAACAAACATACAAAACTACTGGAACATAACTTACCGTTTTCGTCTTCGGCATGGTGGTGGTGGTGTGTCACAGGTAGGAGAAAAACACCTAGAAAAATAACCATATTAGTGGAGCCACGCTCGTCCAACACAGGCATTTATCTTGATTTAATACACAACTGATCAACGAGAAAGGTAACCTAGAAAGGTCATCTTTAAAAAAAAAAAAATATTACATCTTACGATATATCTCAAGCTGGAGTGTTAGAGGATTTATAATCTAAAGCAGGTCATTGAATAAATGAAATAAGTTTTACATATTAAAAACAGAAAATAATTAAATGCAATTTTTGTTTAAATATTATATTATTGTCGATGATACTACCGCTACAATACTACTACTACTAATAATAATAATAATATAATGTTCTATAGACATCCTAAGTATAGCCCTTGTACCATGTGCTTGTAGATAAGTCTATAATTTTAAAATTAAGAGGATTTACACAAAAAGGCAGACAGTAGAAAGTTATTTTGCCTCAGAGTAAGGAAGGGACTTCAACCTTAGTCATTCTATTACCAGTGTCACCTTCAGTTCTTGGCCATAGTATCAACCAAAATTTATTCATATCACGAACTTGGCACCGTGAAACCCCTGGTTACAGAAAATTGTTGTTTTCTATATTATATGATAAACAGTTCAAAATATCCTGTTTCAGTTCAAACTTCAGGTTAATTGAATCACTGGCAGAGAGACGCTAATGTGAAGAGAATTGACGATATACGTTCGCCTTGACCTCTTATCACTCCATATACATTTCAAAAGAAAAAATCATTAGTGTCCTCTGCAGTATCATACTCTTAGGTTCCTTGAATTAATATAAAATGTTTGTTGATCCGCCTTTGAGAGCCTAGCCCTAGAGCGAAGACCATTCGACAACGGCAAACTTTGAAAATTTCTATCATCCACACTTCAGCAACTCTAAAAAAAATAGAGAAATAGCTATTACCAACCGTCTACGGCCAGGAATCGGTTGTATATTTCAAGGTCTCTATAGACCTTGGTAACTTATAGTTATCACGTCTCTATAAGGTGAAGTTACTCCTGGGTAGATCGTGTAAAAAATAGAAGTTAAGTGTGGGCCGTCAGACGGAGTGACTGTAGAACAAGATGGCGTGTGGGTGGATCGACTCTGTCATGTACAGGCAATGATAGATATCTCCTCTGTACGCTGACGATTATAGAGAGACATCTGTAATTATATTAATATCCACATATCTTAATAAGAAGCATTTAAATGTACGATATATTAAAAAAAAACACTCACCTTAAACTAGTGATGAGTAGAGAGAGGTGTAGAGGCCTCGGTTGGTCGATATACACCTTTATCACCACCAAGAATAAGTTTACACACTTCTGTTTTCGATGAGACTTCACTTGTATCGAACAGTAACTAACAGTCACATATAATTGTAACACTAGAGAGCAGCAGGTATGGTTCCCATATTTGTAAAGAAAGTAGAGTGAGCCACTACAAAGTAGCTTGTGTTGGCGCTCGTCGTCCCTCGTTCAATGAGCCCGGTAATACACCCGATCCTGATAAGATTACTTTCTGAGTTCCTCAAATGAAAAAAAAAATGAGCCCTCATTGTGGGTATCCCAACCTCCTGTTGGCAATTTCTCATCTGTTTAAAGATGGGCCAAAGCTGACAAAACTAGGAGATTGCAAATGAGGACAATGGGTGACCTAATAAGTTTTAAAACAAATATTAGCACTTACAGCAACCCAGAAGCGTAATATAGATAAATACACAGATAAGATATTTACAGTATCAGTAACCAGGATTTGGTAATTTGGTAGGCTACAGCTCTGCTCTGAATACCTTACACAATGGAACATTTACTTTGGCGTGAATATACATGTACAGTACTGTACTTTATTCCTGTGATGTAATGTTTTGTAATAATAAAATATATGCATTATATTTTTACAAATCAACTTGTGCATATATGACATGAAATTTAACGCTGCTGTCATGGTTAATGATGTCTGTTTAGCTAAATATATATATATTACTGAAAATCAATGCATTCTTTTTATCCAAGACTTTTTATTTCATTTCTATTTGCTGTTGATACTATAATTTTCATTAGCCAAAATAACTGACTTCACACGGGTTGCAGTAATCCATTTTAGCCAAACCTGATCTAACCCAACCTGGCCTAACCAAAGCAGACCTAACCATATCCGGCCTAACCCAACCTAACTCAGCCGAAACTAACCCACTGGTTGAGTTAGTTTTGACCGAATCTAACCCAACCTAACCATACCTAAATCAATCCAACTCAGATTAAGTCAACCAAAATAAATTAATCCAACCAAACCTAAACTAACCCAACTCAACCTAATCATAGCTAAACTATATTCTTCGGTCTTCAATACATCAATTATTGTACAATCATCATCACAACATCAATTACATTATAATCTTTACAACATCAACTATACAATCATCTAGCTACACTATATCAACTACATAGTAATATTATCATGTACACAACCATCTACAGTACACTACATGAACACCATCATCTACATTGCATATAACACTATCGTTTTTTATGACTTCTGGCACTCCCCTCCCCCAATTTTATTGATTTATTTAAATATATACATATTTATTTATTTTTTTTAATAAAAAAGTAACACAAGTACACATACATGACAGCAGAGTCGGACTGGCCATTGTGCTTGTGTTATGGCACATGGGGTCCCCCACAGGTAATCATTATGGGTCTTCTTTCTTTCCCTTAAAAAAAAAACTGTGTACATATATATATATATATATATATATATATATATATATATATATATATATATATATATATATATATATATATATATATATATATAACCTCGATTAACCGACCACATGAGGGGAAGGGGCCGACGGATAATTCAAAAGGTAGGTTAATACCTGTACATGTAGTACATAAAGTCTACGGAAATAAAACATACATTTTCAAAGTACCTTTCCCAAACCTACCTCATTTAAGTCCCTCTATTCATTTTTGTCCATTTGCCATTCATATTCCAATAGAATTTGCTTTAAAACACTAACCACTTTAGTAAATAAATATGAACCAGCACAGAAACCGTGAATAAAAACTAGAAAAGTCAAAGAACATGTCATCACAAAAATCGTGACCAAGTCCCAGGTTGCTCATCTGACTTTTTGCCTCATTTACGCACAATTGCTGGGTCTCAATTGTTTCTCTTACTATTGACAACACAACATACATACATGTACATTGTTTCTCACTCTTGATTTTTTTTTCATTTTTGCATTTCTTTATGGTTCTTTATTATTATTATTATTATAATTATTAATATTATTACATTATCGCCCCCCAGGCCCCGATGTGGGTCAGTGACCTATGCCCGGGTGGGCTAATCCCCATCAAAAAAAAAAAAAAATTAGGCGTTCGGGATTGACGGTTAATTCGAAAGTCGGTTAATCGAGGTTTGTATATATATATATACAGAATATTTTAACGAAATTCAGATACTACCTCGATTTTTAAATTCTAATTACTTGAACCAACGACTCATGCACAGTTGAGATATTAGGAAATGATCAGATGAGTGCCTCTTGTCAGATACAGTAATTATAAACCTGGTGACACATGCATAGACGACTAACAGTGCTAGTGGGTTGGAATGCGCCCCAACTATCATTACTAGTGGGGTAGAATGGGCTCCAACTGTCAGTGCTGATGGGGTGGAATGTGCCCAACTCATAATGAAATGGCACGTCCCCCAAACAGTGTCCAGTCTGCGTCTGCAGGACAGCGGCTTAGTTAGGAGGGGGGGGGGGGCAGAAGGGGGTACTTGCTGAGTATGAATTTGTGCCTGCAAAACCACCTCACATACAGTATAGCCAAGTGAATCATAAATCAGTTTCTTACTTATCTTCTCAAACTAACAATGAGCTTACTGTATTAGTCTTCCTACCTCTGGAGTGAGAGATCAACTTTTGAGTGCCATCATATTGCATCAAATGGCCTAAATAATATTGCAACTCTTTTTATTTATTTTTTTTTAAATAACTTGAGAGACAATTTTTAAAGATCCGACTCGCTACAGAAGGGAACAAACACCAAAACTGCTCCCTTAGCACTAGCCATCACTTGATGTTGTCCTTCAGATTTACCAGGTAACTGTTAATTGGTACAGGATAAGAGCAGGCCAAGGTTAAACTATTACAATGTGATTAAAACAGGATGAGTGAGGAAATAAGAGGTAATCAGTGGCCTGACTCATTGAGAAACAAAAATGTGGATGCTATCCTGAATACCATTAGACAGTAAAGTGAACCATTTGATTGATAACTATATACTGTACCCAAAACCAAATCCATTGAATCCAGGACTACAAGAAAACTGTTACATATAAACCATGTGACAGTTGAAAAGGTTAAAGAAAAATCTCAGAATTTCACAAGATAGGTTGCAACAAATAAGGATGTATGGAAAAACCAGGATCCAAGCCAAGTCAGAGCGTAGAAGGGCTGATAAAGAGCTCCAGAGGCAGATTGCAAATGAGGCCGAGTCAAACCCAAAGACCATTTTTTATAAATACAATACATATATTTTCCAAGAATGCAGGCCATAAGCCCCACATCATAAAACTTATTAGTACGGGGCAGGTGTGGACTCGCATCTGCCGGCCGCAGTATTCCTCTAGTTCACCATAGGTTATACTAAAAAAAAAATTTTATATGATTGATTTGTGTTTTATATACTGCACATTGAGATATTTAGTTTTAGTTTACTATTTCAATTCACTTCTTCCATTTTCTTCCTCATCACCATCATTGTCATGTACTCTTCATACAGAATAGTGCAATTATGCAATACAAGATGTCTGATTTGATGACAACCTAAACATTTTTACAAACCTGCTGTTACATGGTGTCTCGGAATAAAAAAAATTAAGGATTCAATGACACATGGATAAGATACCAATGGTGATTCAATTAGCTTCTGGTGTATAAAATCATCCAGCGGTGTAAATGCAGGATACTGCTTAATTTGGAATGAAAATCTTGATGTCAAATTACGAGGGCATGATGCAATGGTTTATCATTCGAAGAAACTCTTGCATTGCAAATGTCAAGAAATACCATGATGAAAATGGACATTTAAAACAACTCAAGCCTTCCCAAACAAGCATCACTGAGAGCTTCAACCATATATCATCTTCTAAGCCTATACTGTCATTTCCAAATCATGTGACTGCTGCTGAAGCTATTTGGTACACAACACTGCAGTAGCCAATCTACCACCCCATGTTTGTCACAACATTTTACCAGCATTCTCCATATGTTTCCAGATTCAGAGGTTGCTATTGCAAAGGAGTGTATGCATTCCAAAGCAAGTTACATAATATCAGATGAACTTGGACCTCATTTCAGATATTAGTTGAAAATTAATTTCAAGACTTTGCTTTAACATACCAGAAATTGACAAAACAACTGCCAAACACTGGCAACAATTGGAAGTTTTGGTCAGGTACTTATCTGAACAAGAAAAAGGTGTTGTTGTTTTCAATTTGCTTCCATGACTATTGGCAGGGCCCAAGTTGCTATTCTCTAGGAAAAAATAGGTGAAGTTGCTATTCCACTGTAAACTTGAAAACTTCTGCAGATACCCAGTAATGAAAGCATTAACAAAGCAGGTAAAGGCAACACTAAATCTCCACATTGTAGACATTAGTACAATGCTTTTGGAGCTGCTGATGACAAGTTTGGTGATATTGAACAACTTGGTATTGAGCTCTTCTACTTCTTCAAGGCTTTCCTATTAAGATGAGAGGATTTTGAGAAAGTCCAATAAAAGTACAGTACTGCATCGTATATGATAAAATAAACACATGTTCCTGCATCATGTGCCAAGTTGGTGGTTCACTCTGGAAACTGTAACTGGTTGCCTTGAGGAAAACTTCCTACTATGTATTATACTGTAGTCTAACTTTCTTTCTGATCAAGACCATAAGAATAATGAAAGAATCAAGAGGCTCTCCAAGATTTTGAAGAACAAGTAGCTTTTTTTTAGAAATACTGTTTCTGAAATTTGTGATGCCAGTATATACAAGAGTAACAAGGCTATTTCAGAGTGAAGCATGCTTATTCACGTACAATACTGTATGATTAGCTCTTCATGCTGGTTGTTAGATTACTTTGCCATTTCCTAAAGCATGAAGTGGTAGGAAAAAAATTTGGCATTGAGCTCTACAGCATCGACACCGAAAGAAATGAAAAGTACTTGAGAACTCCACATATTGGATATGAAGCTTCAAATACACTAGAAAGATAATTGTCAGATGACAAGATCTCCGAGATGGACGTGAAGATATTCCACAGTAGGGTACGTAACTTCTTCAAATTGTGTGTCAGCATTGTTGAAAACTCTTCCATTGATGAATGTCATCCATTGGGACTTTAAAGTGCTCCATCCTATTGCTAGGACACCCAACTGGTCAGTTGGAGCTATTCAATGGTTAGTTGTGAGCATTAAACTTGTTC